TGTAAAGGTTCAATAGCGTCTAAAAGTGTCTAAAAGTTTCAAAAAGTTTCCTTCAAATCCTCTTAATAATTAAAATATTACGATAATTAAAATATTCCGATATTCCAAAATTATATTCCTTTGTTACCAAGAAGAATTTTGTATTTACAAATGCTGCCACTACCACTGCTAAATCTATCAGCAAATTTAAACGAGTGAAATAAAGAAAGAAAAAACTTCCTTACTAGATTATTGAAATTCAATTCATTGCCATCCCGACGTACGTACATCTATCTCCTCCTTATATGCAGTATCATCTAAATGTAAACAAGTTTGCATTTCCCTAAACAAATTCCAAAAATAAGAAGGCGTGATGAAACGAAAGATCTCCCACACTCTGTTCACACTGGACAAACATTGTGTGTGTGTCGATGAAACAGAGTTCCTTTATTCCAAGAAACTATGTAAATAAAATTGTTCAACGTTGTTTTCATAAATATGTTTTAAAACAATAATAATACGACTGCTACTGTTTTTAATGAGAATTCCTAATTATTTTTACTTTTTATGGGATTTTTTTCCCCGACGCAACTTGTGTGTTTGTCTGCTTGTTTTCTTGTCTACTCCACACATGTCAACAACCGCCAGGAATACTCACTCACTCGTACATGAAGTATTACCACAAAAAACAAATATATAGACATTTGTTTTTGCTGCTGCATGGCTATTCCATTAAAATCGCCAAATTGTAGGAAACATCTGTGGGTCTCGCTTGGCTGTTTATTCTTCGCTTGTCCACAATCGGCAACATTTTGCAGCATGCATGCATTCATATTTCGATGGTGCGTTTTGTACGTTTGCGGCATGTTGTATTTGCCTATTTTGATTATTTTAATTCGTTGCGACTTTGGGGGCATTGCTGACGTCAATGGTCAGTAGTGGACGACGAGTAATCACGGATGGTGTTGGCAACAGTTGTTGGCGAGTGCGAGACATCATAGTGGCCGTAGTAGAATAGAAATTAACAACAATAAAAAAAGCACACACACGCACACATAAAAAAGTGATCAAAATGTTCGCTTTCCTTCAATACTTCTTCACACGATTTTTTATGAAACATTTTAAAGAAGCAACGATAGAAGGCGTTCTTTCACATTGGTCATTAAAATCAAATGTGTTGGAGGGGGCAGACAGCCAGTCAGACACTTTAGAATAGAAATGAAAAAATTTGTTTCAAACTAATTTTGAATATTTTTCACATATTCTCATTTTTTCTAAGATGGTCACCTCAACAAAATTGATTATGGCACTCAAATTAGCCATCTAATTTCTTGCTTAATATTTTTTTTTGATTTTTTTCCCTTTTAGCGTTTTAACTTTTAGCTATATTTTGTGATCACTCTTTACACCTTCCATGTATACACTTTTCAATTTGTCATCAATATTTTTTCCATTATTAGTTGTTTCTTGTTCATCAACTATATTTTCTTCTTCCTTCGGCTGCTTATGCGATTGCCTTTTGCGATTGATTTTTCGTTTTCCTATTGGTGAAAAACACAATTCAGAAATCTCGTGGCTGTACCATTCTATTGGAACAGAAAAAAAACAAATACTATATATACTATCTTTTTTGATTTTCTTTGTTTTAATATTATAATTATTGCAATAATTGTAATTTAATGGTAGAAATTTGTAAATTTGTTGGCAAAAAACATAATTTGTAATCAATCTCCATAAAATAAAGAAATTTTCAAAATATACCGATTTGTATTATGTATTTGATTTCCGTTTAATTTCGTAAATGGTTACAAATATCGGCAACAGTTTTTGTTGCAAAACTTACAATATAGGAATCCATTCCACAATTCTGTAACAAATGTAATTAAAGGATTTCAAGGAGTATCATCACACTTTTCGCAGTTATCGCATTTATGATCAGAATTGGATGAAATTTGGCAAAGTTTATTGTTTTGGCCTAAGGACGAACCCTATTGACGAACCCAAATTCCTCATGTTTGTCAGATTGACACGAAATTATGCACAACGTACAAAAATTATTAGGTTGGGCATCCTTGGGAATGTCCGATTTTGGCCAAATATGCACCGTTTTATTGCATGTTTGTTACCATTTTAAAGGTAACTTCATAACTCTCTCATAGAAGTCCTGCTCTCTATTTGCAAAAAAAATCTAGATATCAGTTTGTTTATCATTAAAGAAATTTTACAATTAAAGAAAAAGATGATAATCGCTTGGTGTTAAGTCCGGGCTGTATGGCGGATACATGAAAACTTCCCAACCAAGCTGCCGAAGTTTCTAGCGAGTCACTGTAGATGTGTGTGGTCTTGCGTTGTCCTGGTGGAACACAGCACCTCTCCTGTTGGCCAATTCTGGCCGTTTCTGGTCAATTGATATCTTCAAGCGGTCCAGTTGTTGACAGTAGAGATCAGTATTTAGCGTTTGGCTATATAAAATCCTCTTCTAGTACCACCATATGCATAGCAGAACCTTCCTGGCTGTTAGTCCTGGCTGTTGGCCACCGTTTGAGGTGCTTCACCGCTCATTGACCACGATCGTTTTTGCACAGGGTTATCTTATGTGATCCATTCCTCATCTCCATCCGTTTAAAAAATGGGTCTATCTCATTCCGTTTGGCCAAGATGGAAATTCGAGCCATCCCATTCGTTTCTGTTAATTGCTGCGCCATCCAAAAATCGAGTTTCTTTTTGATTTCAGCTTTTTTTGGTTGATTTTTATCTCCTGGGCGATGTTACGACTGTTAAAAAGCCGGTCAACTTAGATCATTTTTTCGATTTTATGGACATTTTCGACGACCGGCCGAATGGATGTGCGGGATCTTCGAAAATTATAAAAGTTTAAGGTACCCAAATTTGATTTTTGATTTTCTATAGTTTTATAGGTAATTTCACATACAGAAATTCTAGTTTTGTATGTTTTTAATACTCTCTTTAAATTTATAGCAAAATTTTAAAAAATTGTTACACTAGGTACTTCTATTGTTACTCATTTTTATGTAATATAATTATTTGACAAATTTAAATATTAAAACCCTATAACTGACATTTATGTCCTCTAGGGTATTACAACCGAATCCTATTCTTCCATATTCGGGAATAATTTCCCAATATTTTCTCCAGATATATCTCGAAATTGATTGTTTTGAATACAAAAGTTTATAGCCAATTTCCTTTAAATATCCATCTATTTTTCCCACCTGACATCATCTGAAAGTAATAAAAATTATTAAAAAAAGAAAACTTTTGTCACAAAGCAAAAATAAAAAACACAGGAAAGTCAACGAAATATTAAAATTAATAACAAAAAAAAAAAACAGAAACAATAATTTATGATAATGTCAGCTTTTTTTCTTGTTTAAGACTTTTCGATTCCAAGAAAACAATAAAAAAAATATATATGGGATTGCTACGTGTTTGTCTGCCCGAATACTCCCGTTAGGATGATACGGTAGTATCTATTCTGACCATCACGTTTGTGGCCAAAGTCATATGGCCACTTTTTTCCTTGCACAGACTAACAGAATCATAGATAGACCAGCAGACCCGATATTGCCCCTCAGTGTGTGTGGGGGTGTATATATGTGGTTAACGCATTGACGCACAGTCAGACATAATGGCGTCTTTGCCGTTTCATTTTGATGTTGGTGGTGGGGTCTTATCAATTTCACTTTCAATCCAGTTCAATATGTTTGCCAATTTTTTTTTCGTTTTCTTTTATTTTTCTCTTGATCGCCGTACATTAGCTAGGCAGTCGAGCTGCCTGCCTTAGTTCTTGGTATTGTATTTAGCAGTTTCATGTTTTATAATGATCTCCTTCATTTCCGTCCCCGTCCATTAATACGATATGTTCGGCTCACTTGTATTGACGTGACGTGTTGCCTAGTTGAGGTGTGTTTTGTTCTGATTTATTGTATAAGTTGTTGTTGTAGTTGGTGTTTTTGTTGTTCCACTTTTCTCGAAAGTGATTTTCAATTGTTGTTCTTGATGTTCGCATTTGTGGCATCTTCATAAATCATTCGCCAGGGTACTTAGGGGTTTGGGTTATTAATGACTTATAGCAGTTGTCTGTCTGATTTTTCGAGTACTTTTTTTTGACTGATCAAGAACGACCTCCTTCTTCTTTTTGGTGTTGTAGTGTAAGGGACATATGATATTGAATCCGACATGGTCATGTCAATAGCAGCCAATTAAAAATGACATTTTATTAAATGAAGAAAACTAAACAAAATCGTCTTCATTAATTTTTAACAAAATAAATGATGACTTTTTGGCGGCTGGAAATTTTTTGACAAATTACTGTGGTTTGTTATTCAAAAAAAGTGGGTTAATCGAAGTGTTGTGTGGCCTATTTGGATCATGGCCATTTGATTAGTTAACATGGAGGTGGGACGTTCTTTTATCTTCAAATACACATAGTCCAGAATGCCACAAAAATACTCCTCTCACTTTTTAATTTAATTTTTATTAAAAAAACATTTTTAATTTAAATTTGTGTTAAACATAAAATTCAATGAAAGAAATTTTAATAGTCATTTCATCGTCACAGGATTTTCACTGATTTTTTTTTAATTTTTTTATTTTTATTTGTGTACCTCATTTCAAATTTATCATAATTTGGACATCTGGTCACTGTTTGCGTTATACTCACACAATCTGCCGACAAAGTCTTGAAATTTATGGTTTTCATTTTTAGAAAAAACAGTTTTTTATTAGAAAATTTGTCACGATTTTGTTTCGGCGGTTGACTACACTTAATTAAAAAAAAATCAAAAAGGCTGATCAAAATTAAAAAAAGGCGTGACAACAAAAAATGACGACGATGATGATGGGGAACATGAAAAGTAAAAAAAACATAACATTATTATGGACCATTTCATAATCATTCACTCACACACCCTCGCCCGCACATCGACTCATCCCAAATCTACACTTAGCAACGAAATATGCTAATCATCAATTTTATATTTCCCACTTTTGCCTTCTAGAAAAACGTTCATTTTCATTCCGTTTGAGAAGATCTCGAGCCGGTGATGGCGGCAGTACAAATTCGCGCAACAGCAACAACAACAGTAGTACCTGTACCAACAACAATCGTTGTAATTCGCCACAAACACCCACCAGCAGCAGCATGAAATTGGAAGTGCCAACCTCCAATCCTTCGGTTAGTCGTCGCAGCAGCATTTATCGAAAACCCGATAAGGATGACAGTGGCCTCATACACATTATACGTGACATTGATCTGCCGTTGATGTCATTTACCGATCAATATAATATCGAAAAGGTATTGGCCGAGGGTTGTTTTGCCAAAGTCCTGCTGACCACCCACAGGCCCACTCAGACCAAGGTGGTTTTGAAAGCCGTACATGCCGAATTGACCACCATACAGGAGTTCCAAAAGGAGTTTCATTTCAACTATGAGCTGTCACATCAGCGAAACATCCTCAGTGCCTATAATGTGGCCTTCCAGACCAAGGATTATTATGTCTTTGCCATGGAACATGCCCCCTATGGTGATTTGGCTTCCAATCTGGGTCCCAATGGCTTGCATGAGAATGCCGCCAAGACCATTAGCGAGCAGCTAAGTTCTGCCCTGTCTTTCATGCACTCGAAAAATCTCGTACATCGTGATTTGAAGTTGGAAAATGTTTTGGTATTCACTCCAGACTTTTCTCGTGTCAAGCTGTGTGATTTTGGTGCCACCACCAAGAAAGGTACATTGGTGCATAAAGTGAAACATACCTGGACCAGTTTTGTACCACCAGAAATTTTGGAAATTGTCAAAAATGAAAGATTCCATTGTTTGCCCTGCAGTGACTCCTGGCAGTTTGGTATCCTGTTGTATCACGTTTTGACCGGCAGTCCACCCTGGAATGCAGCCAATTGGGTTAAAGATTCCAACTATTGTAATTTCATGAAATACGAACAAAGAAAGACCACCAAGATTCCAGATAACTTCCGGAGATTTTCACCACGCCTTATGCGCTGTTTCCGTAAATATCTCTCCCATGATCCCGAGGATCGTTGCAAAGTGACAGAGGTAAACAAATACATGAAAGATCGTTGGGTAGAATGCCGGGTGGCCACATCGAAATCTGCCATTTTGGTTGCCCCCACTCCCGATCAAGATTCCTGCATTTATCTCAACCAAAGAGAGGGACGTAAATCTCAGGAGGATGAAAACAAATTACGTCTGCGGCGTATGATGTCCACCTATGGTCTGGATCACAGCCCAGTCGATCAGAATGCTGTGCGCAAGCGTGTCTTAGACTGGTTGGCCACCTGTGATGACAATTTCGACCGAGAAATTGAAAGTCTGGTAATAGTGGATACACCGGCAAAGTGAAGGCGCTGTTGGTGGCAAGCTGGAGAGCATGAAAGAGACTTGATTTACTATTTTTTTGTACAATTGTAAGGCTAAGGACAACTTTCCTGGTGAAAGACACAAAGGCCCAAGGCACAATTTATGTCAATTATGACAATATTATTGTTTGAAATGGTTTTCCCGTAAACAATTTGTAGGCAAATCCTGTTATACGGAAAATCGAATATTTTTGTTGTTGGTAAACAAAAAATAAAACAAATTTTGAAAACAAAGGGATTTCTTAAAAAACCAAAAAAGGAAGCAGAGCACGCATCATTATGGCAGCAATGAATGAAAGAACGAAAGAAAATTGATAATACAGAACAATAAAATAAATTCTAGTAGTATCAAATAAAAAAATATCAGTATAACATTTATACAACAATAATTGATTTTGTATATATAAATAAAACAAAAAAATATTACACTTGTTTATAGACATATAAAACAGACCCTAGATTAATAGAAGTGAGACAAAAAAAGTATTCTACTTTCGGCCAAATATATAAATAGATAATAATTATAATATATTGTCAAAAATCTATATACATATATTTTTTCATACGTTTATTTTTTTTAACATTATAATTATTATTTTATTATCATATTTTTTGTATATAAATTTTTCATCATTTGATTGGTTGGCTAGAATTCAAAACCATAAAAATAATATTAATAAATGTCAAGAAAATAAAAAAAAAATATATATATTTGTTTTGTATTTTTTTTTAATTGGTTTCCTTTGTATGTGGATGTTTTGTGAACGTTTTTTTCCTGGTGGTTGTTGCATTGTTTATTAACCTTTTTTGTTTTGCTACATATTTTCTTATTATTATTTTTATTATGTTTTATATCGGGCATAGCTAAATTTAACTCAGACAAGGTAAATAATTTCAACGGTCATTGGTACAAGACCTTGACCCACTATATTCTGGAATTCAAAACAAAAGGGGTGATAAAAACTGATTTGGGAGGGTTGGTGTTTATTTTTATGCGAGGTCTTCTTGCACAACACCTGGTGTGCTTCTCTTACAGATGACCTAAAGGCCTTGTTGAAAATATCTGCGACGATCATCGAAAATATATGGTTCTCTAAATGAATGCATACTGGTATTTTTATAGAAAAATCGAAGTTGTACATACTGAAGATCTGGTAGTCTTATCGTTAAGGACCTCATGCCCTTCTTATAGAAGACTTATTAGGTTTATCTTATGTGGTCCTGAAAATTTACGCACTGGACATCTTAGAGAATACGTCGTGGTACTTTTTATATTGCACCTTCCCATACTCTCATAGAAGATATCACGATTTTCTCATATAAGACCTCATGTTTGTCTTATAGAAGTCATGCTAGCCTTCTCAAAAAAGACTATCTCTTCGTCTGACAGAAGACCTTCTGTTGCAGGTCTTCTCTTCTTAATTTTTTTTGGCTGGTGGACTTATTTCAGCTTCCTTAAAGAAAACCTTCTTTGTTAATGTCCCCATGGTCTTCGCAGACTTCTTTTCATAGTCTCTTCTCTGAATACCTAGTGATTTTCTTATAGGGGACCTCCTAATATTATAGTAGAAGAATTGCTAATATTCTTTACTTCTCTATTGCGGACCCTTTAAAAGGCCCCTCGTATTATTCTCGTAAAAGGCTGTTAGATCTATGCGAAAACCTCTTGGTCTTTATATCGAACACCTCCTGGCTTCCTATATAAGACTGGCTGATTCTCTCTTTAAGGAGTCGTCTTAAAGAAATGCGGTGTGTCTATGTTATGGTATAACATCCTCCTAACGGTATCGCCCAATTTCGAGGTTCTAAAAGGTAAAGGAACTAATTTGATATTCCGTAATATTGGAGGATGAAAGACATCTAGGCTAAAAACATTTAATCTAGGTCTGCGATTTAGCCCCAATTAGACCATAGCTCTATATAGAGGTCACATTGTATTTTTAATATTTTTGTAGCAAAAATATTGACAAAATCTTCAATATGAATCCATATTAAGCTCCCACCCTCATTTGAAGATTCTAGGGATCTCAACAATCGGAACTTTTTATCCGTATTAGATACTCTTTATCTGTTTTCTATGTCGTTATATATGGTGGATTTTTATTTTTTGAGCACCCATGTTCCTTGTTTCAAATTTCAGATTCCAAATTCAGATTATAAACAACATTCTGCAGAAAAAGTTCCATATAAGTCTCCCTCATTTTTGGTATGCTCAAATCTCGTCATTTTGAAATTTCGTCCCTTCAGAAGATTCTTGTGTTTTTAACCGAGGATCAGATATTCTTTTTCATTCATAGTAAGTCATTGTTAGAATTTATCCACACAAATATATTTGAATTAAGTAAGCACTATTAATATTTGGTACAACTTCCTATTAACTACTGTCAGAAACCATATTTATAAAATTATAATGAAAACATCTATAAGAAGGGTATATCAAATATTTGTTATTAATTTATAAAATAAATACAAATAGTTGATTCTAATAAATAATATTAAGCAGTGTAAAATAGTCGCACATACCGCACACAATTCGTTTTAAGACTAATATTAAAATTATCTAGATTTCCATATAAGAATTAAAATTTGAATGTGAAAATTTATTAGTGATGAAAACTATACCATTATTAAATGCCATATAAACTAAACATATATATCTAAAAAAAGGATGAGTCAATTTAAGGATATTTTTTGAATATTATTAAAAATTACTTAGTAATACCTTCACACATTCTAATATGATGACCTGTGTCATGGATCAGGTCTCTTGTTTTTATTGAAATCATAAAATCTTATTAAAAAATTGAGGTACAAAATGCATAACAAACAAATAAAATACAAAAAATTGAAATATTTTATAACGTAAACATTGTTATTATTATTAGATAAAAACATATTCTATTATTCATCATAACTACACATGTATGAGAATATAAAAAGATTCAATTTTTAATGTTAATTGGTAGTTAAAAAATAGAAGAAGGAGAGGAGATTTGTTTTTCAAATTTTATTGTTTATGAGTATAGTAAGCGATCATATCTGAGTTGCCGAAATATTTATAATAAATAATATTTATGAAATCTAAACATTTGTATTTGCTTTAATAAATCTTTATACCAACAAAATGAAAAAAGAACAATATATTAAATAAATGCAATTAAATGAAATTTTATTGCTTTTTATCCATAGGGAGTGAAAGAGAACCATGATTGAATATTCGAGATTTAATATGGAACATGTTTTCAATTTTTTTTAATTTATATTTTTCATTATTATTGTTTCAATTTTAAAAGTAGTAAAATTAGAATCGTGTGGGTCAGGGACTGAGTTTTTTTATGTTTTTGTTTAAGTAAAACAAAGGCGCGTGAAGAACAAGAAAGTGTGAAATATATTTCAGATAGTTAAAAAAATGCTGGGTATTTTTTTATGCCTCTCTTCATTTAGGAATCAAAAATAACAGATATAAAACCAGTAAAGAAAGAAGTAAAGTCGGACTGAGCCGACTTTGGTGCACCATTTACATAAAATCGGACGAAAATATATATATGGGAGCTATATCTAGACCTGAACGAAATTTAGGACACATCGTTCTAGGCTTAATTCAGTACGTAATGCCAAATTTCGTTCAAATCGAAGGATATATAAGGACTTTGGTGCCCCATTTACAAAAAATCGGACGAAAATATATATGGGAGCTATATGTAAATCTGAACCGATTTTTACCAATTTCAATACGGTTCGTCCTTTTGCCAAACAAGTGAACTGTGCCAAATTTCATCACGGACATGCATAAATCGACTCAGATAGTGATTCTATGCATATTCTCAAAAGAAACCATGGGTCTATCTCGATTCCTTCTGAATGGGTCTATCTCGATTCCTTCCTCTGAAATCCCGAAATTACAAAAATTAGGTTGCGGGAAATAAACCATTATTTGTATATGAACTATGGGACTTTATTTAACATGCTTCGGAATGTCCGAATGCACCGTTTTGTTGTCCGTTTCTGGTCAATTGCTATTTTCAAGCTATTTCAAAAGTTTTTGACAGTAGAGATCAGAATTTAGCGTTTGGGCATATGGAAGCAACTCAGAATAAATAATCCCCTTCCAGTCCCACCAAATGCATAGCAAAACCTTCCTGGCAGTTAGTCCTGGTATGGCCACCGTTTGAGGTGCTTCACCGCTCTTTGATCACGATCGTTTTTGCCAGGTTTATCGTATGAGATTCATTTCTAATCTCCAGTCACCATCCCTTTAAGAAATGGGTCTACCTCATTTCGGTTTTCCAAGGCTTCGCAGATGGAAATGCGATCCATTCTATTTTTTCTGTTAATTGGTGTGGCACCCAAACATCGAGCTTCTTTTCGAATCCAGCCTTGTGTAAATGGTTTAAAACAGTTGTATGGTCTATTTTTAGTTCCTGGGCGATGTTACGACTGCTAACATGCCGGTCAACTTCGATCATTTCTTCGATCTTCTCGACATTTTCGACGACCGGCCTTCTTTTTCCCCAACCTAATATTTCCCACTGAGTCGGATTCAAATTTTATATGAGCATTGGTGTGGCACCCATCGACCTTCTTTTCGAATCCAGCCTTGTGTAAATGATTTAAAACAGTTGTATGGTCTATTTTTAGTTCCTGGGCGATGTTACGACTGCTAACATGACGGTCAACTTCGATCATTTCTTCGATTTTATCGACATTTTCGACGAAAGAAATCCATTAGGCCTTCTTTTTCCCCAACCTAATATTTCCCACTGAGTCGGATTCAAATTTTATATGAGCTTTTGAGAAAGCCAATATGGCTTTCCGATTCTTTTAAGGAAATAAATGGCTTTCTTTACGGGTTACGGGTATTTAGACCTGTTAACACAGCTCGTCCACGCTCTACCAACATTCGACATTTATTATCTTTGCAATTTTAGTTGCTTTAGTTATTTAGTTTAGTTAACGACAAGGACTCATGTTAACGACAATCTGAGTAGCCTTTATATTTCACCTAATTTGTCGAGCTATTTGGTCTCGGCTTTAGTATTTTTGATGAGTTAGTTTTGATGGAATTCAGAATCCGACCAGAAATATTGTAAATATACTATAGTAAAATATAAATTATTCATAAGCAGATAAATCGAAAGCCCTATTACGTATAACTTTTTCCCTAAACAAATATTTTAAGACCAAAATCAAAAACCTCAATTTAATGTAAAAATTCGAATAAAATAATTATTCCTATTACAAGTTATTGGATTATTTTTAAAAATTTTTTTATCCAAAGATTTTTTTTCAGTATATCGATAATTCATCATTTCATTATTTTTAATTTTAAATCAATCCAGTTTATTAATTATCTTGTATTTGCTCTTGTTTTTTATAAACAAAACTATTTTTGGTATTTAATAATATTATTTAAATACCAAATACACACACGTACATTCAATTCTTTTATTAGTTTTAAATGACCCAAACGAAAGATGACTAGCTGTTTTAGTATTGACGAACATGGGAAATTATAATCGAATTGATTTTTTTTCGAAACGAATCATTCGTCTTGATTTCATTAGCAGGGTAATTATTCTAATCAAGAGGGGTTAATTGGAATGTGAAAGTGGGTAATTTTAGTGATATTCATATCAATTAATTTTCACAAGATTTATAACGGCTTTGAGTGATTTAGATTTGTATGTATTGAGTGGTTCCTTAATTGCAACAAAATGCATTTATCTTCGTTGGATGAAGGTGGCAATTGACGGAGAGATAGAGAGTTAAAGATTTTCGATACCGATATAGTTTTAAATTCTTGATCAATGTTTCGAGTATTACATTTGAACTGTCTTTTTTTGATTAAATATTTTTAAAAGTTGTCAGTTCTTTTGACCAGGTATTGCAATCTAATAAAATGAATGTTGCCGATTTAGTGCTACGTTGTGGCACGTCACATACATTAATCTTTTATACGTAATATAATTTTCATTGCCATTTCTGTCGTCTACAATATTCCTGTAAACAGCACATGACCTTAACATGGAACATACTTATTTTTAATAATATTTTGTTTTCGAAATTTCTCTTATTTTCCGGCGATTAATGCAACAGTTGCAAAATGTCAACGTAACAAACTATTTATTAATATTTAATAGCAACAAAAAAACAAATTTGGCTGGAGGTATTTCATTCCATTTGGCAAATTTTATGAAACAAATGGTGGCGTTAGGTAATCTATTTGTTTTTGTACATTAGGGTGTATGGCAGATCATAATAATAATAAAAAATAAAATCTTCTGACATTAAATCACACAAAGTGTTTTGACATTTTTCTGTCAAATATGTTGCCAAAAAGTGTCAAATTTGTTTTTAAATAGTCAAAGATGATTTCACAAACAATAATATTGGTTATTCAAAGAGAAATATCTTTTTCATTTTTTTTTTTCAATATTATAAAACACAACTAATATTTTGGTTTTATGTTTTTTTTTTTAATTGCAGAAAGTACACTCATCAGCATTTCTTTCACACATCAATTGAAATGAAACATAAGATCCATTTTTTTTAAAGAGGCGCCTCGTGCTGCCTGTATTTGGGGTATACCTTTATGATTATTGTTTCTAATTGTTGATATGAAAGTAAAAATAGCTTCGAGTAGAAAAAATCGAATCGAAAAAATAGAAAGAAAAGAAAACAATATTGTGATGCTTATAATAACAGACGTTTTCAACTAAAGTAAACAATAGAATATTTCCCATACCAAGTGTTAGGGATGACCGTTGAGGAGAAACAAAAAAAAAAGAGGTATTAACTCTTTCAGTGTTTTTGTCGAATATATTCGACATTTTAAAATACTCTCTTCCTTTGCCATTTTTCGGTTATCCTATGTACCGTTAACATTGATGTTTTTGTTTTTGCTGAAAAACAGACGAAACTGTCCGAGGGTTAAAATGAAAATTGCTTTTTTTCTAAACTCTATGCCTTTATATGATTTAAGTACAAAATTTTAGATTTTTATTCCGACAAAATTTTTTTTGACACTGAAAGGGTTAATAAGAGCCGTTAAATTTGAAAGTGGTTTAAGTATGAATATTTTGTCCTAAAATGACGTCTATATATTCGGTTTATATATTTTATCGATTTCTCTTGTTCAGTGACTTATACTAAAATTTGATGGATAATATTTTTGTCCTTTATACCATCCTCCTAAAACTACATCTACCAGGGAAAATTGGTACAAATTGGTATTTTTAAGATTTTTGACGTTTAGGCTGATTTTTGAATATTGGTCTATTCTGAGACTTATAGTAAAACATAATGACGAACATAAAATAAAATATTATTACCTGTTATAAAAAAACTATATGGCGAACATTTTTGTAGAGTATTCTGTCTTACAATAACTCCGTTTTAAATGAGTTTTCAATCATTTCTGGAAAAGAAGACCGAAAGTACCCGTGCAAAGAGTCGGCAGAGGGTTAGTGTATTAGCCATTTTTGAATTTTTGTCCTAAATTGTACATATATTATATATACCGATTGCTTTTGTTCAGTGACTTATACTTAAATTTGATGGGGAATAGTTTCGTTCTTTATACAATCCTTCTTAAACGACATGTAGTGGGGAAAATAGGTACAAACTCGGAATAAGATCTGTTTTAATGAGCTAAATATGAAAGCTCATTTTAGGGTTAAACTATTTTTGACGTTTAGGCTGATTTTCGAATATTGGTTTATTCTGTGACTTATACTAAAACTTTATGGCAAACATGTTTGTAGAATATTCTGACCTGCTATAACCCCGTTTTAAATGAGTTTTCAATCATTTCTGGTAAAGACCCTTGCAGAGAATCGACTGAGTGTTAATGTATTATACATTAAAATATTCATATGTATATTCAAATTTGATACTCGTTGTGGTCAAAATTTAACAGAAAACAAGTAAAAACGGGTCGAACATTTTATAGCCTATACTACGACAATGTTCCGATCAATGTTAGTACATACCTATCATTGTTCGGCTATGCCATAGTAAAATTTCAGTTGAAAGATTTGACAACTTATGAGATCCCAATTTATCAAATTATATCCAAGTTGTTTTAAAAAAGTGCCTAAATCCTTAAAATACCGCAAAAACGGGGTACATCGAAATATTGGGCTTGTCCCGAAACAATGATAACTCAAAATAAAAAATAGCAACGTGCAATACTTCCCAAAATACTGAATATATACCGTTTTATGGTGGGTCACCCTAGAAAGTGGACCGATGCTAATAATTACTGGTAGGATAATTACTGGATGAGAACCCAAAATAGCAAATTACACCCAATTCGATTGAAAACGTACCAAAAATTCTCACATGGTTGGGACTACTGTTATATTGGGGCTACACCAAAATGTAGATCGATATATCGAAATTTTGCAATCATGTCTAAATCGACATAAAATTTTTTTCTGATCAAGAATTTCGCGAGAATTTGATACACACATGTTTAATAAGTAAAAATTTGCTAATTTGTAGAGATGAGAAAAGGCGTAAAGTCCAATATTTTGCCTCTCCTGTAAAACTGTAAAATATGGACTTATTGCCTTTTTTATGGAGTCTCCGGTCTTTCGAAATTTTTACAAAACCTATATCATGAATCATTTCAGGTACCTTACAAAAACGAACAATTCTGGGCATCCCACGTTTTAAAAACGTATGAAGCGAACTTTTCAAAATCAACATTAATTCCGATCACTTTTTTGGTAAGTTTTACTTTATTTATTTTTTTTATTTATCGAATTGTATATAAGTTAATGCAAATTGTGTTATAATTATTAATAAATAATTGGACACAAACAAATAATGAAACATGAAATTGATGAATGCGACTATAAATGATATACAAGTATATGTGTGTATATGTGAATTATATAAAACAAAAATAATATATGTATGCGTGTATGTAATGATGAAGCAGTCCTTGTATTCGAACAAATCTAATTCGTTTCCAGCGGTATATTTTTCTGTATGACCTGTTAAATGAAAGAAACTTGTGAATAATTTGTTTTTATTTAAAGTGAGAAAAAAAAATCGACCTACCTCAGCACACATATTCTTGTAGATTTCATCTGTATCCCAAGGACCACGTTCCGGCAGTGGTATGCCACGACGCCGTAGTTCTTGAACACAATCAGTCAAATCGAAAATGGGCAGAGGATCAATTTTGGCCTTGGCCACCTTAGCTGTTAGATATTCAACGTAGTGGGTCCTACAAAGAGGATAAGGGAGTAAGTTTTAAAAAGTATCACAAAAGATAACTTGAATTTAGAAGTAAGAGTAATTGTAGTGAGCTTTCCAATTTCTCAAAAAAATCATTTGGTCTTGTGTGATATTTGAGGAGTTTTGTTCCATAGAAGTAATTTTCGCTACCCCGAGAGTTGTCACATCACTACTTACCGACACATTCCAGCATGTTTATCGGGCACATCACTATTACATTTGGTATCCACCAAACCATTTGGTGTCTCTTTTTGTATGGGAATGGGACAGAGGAGTGGTTGTTTTTGTGATGAACCCGGGATGCTATCATCATTTGTTTCGATGGGATCCACCTCAAAGTCCACACCATTATTTTTCAATAGAATTTGTAGCTGTACGGGTAATTTATCTCTTAAATAGAAGAGACAATTGCGGGGATGATGGGCGTGAAGGCCAAGCTTGGCGCAATACGGTGAAATGTTACATTTGGCACCCATCATAAATGGTTTGGCACAGCCATAGCAAAATTCATATTTGCATTGGGTGCAGGTGAAATGCATGCAACCTCCTCTGTAAAATAAAATTTGTGAGAAATTCAGAGAGGAATTTTATAGGGAAGAGCAGGAATGTTATGAACGGAGACTTACCGGGCAAGAGAATATCTAAATTTACACTTTGGACAATCAATACCATTCTGATCTAAATGCTCCTTGACACCCAAGGCTTGGACGGCGGGATCATTGGCCAGTTCCCATTCTAAGAATTTTTCACAGGAAATGCCTTCGTGTTGTTTTTGCCACTAAACAAAAAATAACAATTTTAAATTATAAAAATATAGTTATTCTATAATTTATAAATATAAATTTAATGGTCCAGGACTTACTGTTTTCCTGCACGAAGCACATGTCACCGAACCGCAATCGGGACAAATTAATCTCTTTTGTTTGGGTCTTGCAAAGAAACCCGACGAACACTGAACACACCATTTAAAATTGGGATCTTTGAGCAGAGTACGATCTCTCAGTTTACGCTGGAATAGTTCATGCACCTCAGGTTCGACAATATTTTTCAAGAAGATATCCAAATTGGAGAAATATTCCAAATTATCATCTTCGTGTTCGCTTTGATTGTGCAATTCGGGTAATTTGCAGAATGGACAATTACAATCGTTAATACTGCGTTCGGTTATCTACAAAAAGGGAGAAGATAATAAAAAGAGAGTTGTGTAGGTATACTCGTTCTTCTCAGTTGAGTACATATTTTTCGAATTTTTTGAATTGTTTGTCCTAAATATATATATTCGGTGTATATTATCTTTTCTTTCGATTTCTCTTGTTCAGTGACTTATGATAAAAATTAATGGAGAATATTTTTGTCTTTTATACCGGCCTTCTAGAACGACATCTAGTGGGGGAAATTGGTGCGAACTCGGAATAAGATCGGTTTTAACCCTAAAATGAGTTTTCATATTTTTAAGATTTTTGACGTTTATTCTGAGACTTAAAACTAAATGGCGAACTGAGTGTAAACGTATTAGACAAACATATTTCTTACATTTTTATGAGTAATATTGCCAAAGACAACATATACCTAAAATGCAAGGAGAAATCTTTATCCGAATATTTTCGTGAAAATGGAAAATACTGCCACGCCTTTTTAGGTTACCTCCCGATGTAAATATTCAAATAGCCGACACACCTGTTTCCTATTTTTAGCTCCTCTTTCATAATTTTTTGGAATTTCCCGAAAATTATTAAAAAATTGAAATTTTCTGCACAGGGTATAGATCGATCCTCTTCCCCTCTATTAATCATCTGCCCATTACATACCTGTACGGTGAAATAAGTTTTGGCGCATTGTTTGCAGCATTTGTGGGTACACTTGAGCATCGATACGATTTCGTTGAGCGCATACGTTCCGCTGCATAGTTCACAGTCTTGTTTGAGCAATGCTATGGCATGTTCCAAATCACTGCATTCTTTGGCGGCCCATATTGAGACATCCTTCTGGAATTTCATGCTTACTAGAGCAGCTGCAATTTGGGCCTCTGCTATGGTATTCACCAGTTCTTCTTTCATGAATTTATCCACCAGTTCCTGATAAAATAAGAATGATTTCATTATTTGATCTTTAATTTGAAAAGAAAACAAGAACCTAAAATCGGCCAGGAGGCTATGTAAAACAGGACATTAGTCCTATCTATCTAGATACGAACATTGATTATAACAATACCCACTACTTACCTCTGTATTGACATCTTCAGGTTCCTGAACACTTGGATATGCCCTAAATACCGGTACACTCATTTTACGCTGCCTTATCTCAATCGGTTCGGGTTCTTCCTCGGTTGATGTACTCTCATAATCATCATCGGAAAAACAGGTTTCATGATATTTCTTTTTCGGTATACGAGGTGTTGTTCGAGTTTTGAACAAAGAACTCGTACTGGGCAATTCTGTGGTGGTGGTGCTGCTGCTGGTGATACCGGAGTTCGGTCTTGTCAGCCGATTAATGGCTTCGGTAATCGAAGGTTTTCTTGCAATTGTGGTGGGCCCTTTTAATTGGGGTTTATTATTGTTGGATTTTTGTTGTGTTTGGAAGCGTTGCGTTATTGTCTTCACCGATGTCAAGACTATGGGTGTTGGTGGTCCCGAAAATGATTTTGAGCGTGTGGGTAAAATCATTTTTGGTTCGGTTTTACTTCTTAAGTTGCCAGTTGTGGTCTTTGGAGGATCCTTTGATTTGGTATTTGTTTCTTTAACGGGTTCATTGTTTGTTTTGGGCTTCTGATCCCTTTGGCTATTGTTGGGTTTGGGTATTTTACTAGCAGTTGCCTGTTTCTTGGTGGTCGTTTTCGCATCCTCTTTCTTTTTGTTTGTTGTTGTTGTGGTTTTCGGTTTGGCAGTTTGTTTGCTGGTTGATGGTCTACTATCGTCATCATCCTCTATAGATTTTAATTTTGTCAACTTCGATTCTTTGCCCTTGGCGGGTGTCTCTCTTGCAGTTGCCGTAGTACCAGATGTAGATGGTAATTCATGATCTTTACTCAATGAAGGAGATGGGGATGAAGTGGTGACTTGTGACAAAGATGAATCATTAGTAGTAGTTGTGTTAATAGCTTCCTTGGAGGATGTGGTGTTTTCTGTAGACAAAACTATTTCGGCCGGTAATTCGGGTATATAGTTTTCTATTTGTGGTGGCAACATTTCTGTAACTGGAGCCAGCACAATTTCCGTTGCCATTTCAGGTAATGAATTTTCGCTTTCCAAAACGTTGTTAATTGTCAGAGGCATGGATTCAGTTTCAATGGTTATACCACCAGCTGATGTTGAGTTGTCCTCAGTGGCCTCCTCCATTGTGGCACTTTCCTCTGTGCGTCTATTTGTGAGAACAGCCTCAACTGGAATTTCGGGTATTTGATTTTCCGTTTCCAAATAAGCCATAGTTTCATTATTAGAAATGGAAATATTTGAAGATTGAGTTTGATTAGAATCGCTTGAAGTTTGAAGAATTAAGTGCTCAGATGTGGGTGATGCTGATGGTGAGGATGACAAATTATGTTCGGGTGACTGTGATGCATTGTCATGGATATGCTCTGGCTCATTGTGAATTTGTTCAGATGTATTATTTATATTACTTGCTATGTCCTGCACATTCTCATCCTCCTCTTCGGCAGCATCCACAGTTGCATCACCAATTATTTCATTAAATTCTTCGGGTTGATCTTCCCATTGGCCCTCTTCATCTTCAGCATCTTCGTCGTCGTCTTCTTCATCCAAATCCTCAAGTTCCTCCTCTTCCTCCTCATATTCCTCTTCGATTTCTTCCTCTTCTTCGCCATCATCATCATAGTCATCACTGTACTCATCGGTATAATCATCCTCATCCGTGGAAGATTCAAAGTCATCCATATTGATTTCCTCTCTCATTTGTTTGATTAGCCTCTGGGTATCCTTTACCAATTCGGAGAGATTTTGCTTACTGGGATCTCCGGAGGGTATAAATTCACTGGGTGGTGATTTGAGACCCGACGAAAAGCTAATTGCCGAATGTACTGTAGAGCTGCTGGTAGATGGTACCACCGTACTCTCTTCCATTGATGTCTCACCATTGTCATGTTGGATCATGAGAAACATTTCATTGGTACTGGTGGGAGATTGCACATCATCGAAACGTGATTCCGTATCGGTGGGTGATTGGACATATGTTCGGGAGTCTATATCGTTTAGAGATGAATCACTTGCCAGACTATAAAGTTCATCTTCGGAATCTTCTTCAGCATCATTGGCATCAGCATCGTTGAGGATGTCATTACTTGGAGATTCTTGTTGTGGAGTTTCATCTTTAGGTAAAGCAGAAGTTGGCCTTGGAGTCTCTTTTTCGGGTTGTGCATTTTGGGATGAAGTTTTTGAAGTTGTTGTTGTTGGTGTTAAAATTAGACTGGCATTACTTGCAGTTCTACGCACCGGAATTTTGGATACTCTTCTAGCATTTTTAGCTACGGCCGGTTGTTTTATTTCCGATTCCGAGCCTTGATTTTGGGATGCCATGTTTGTTGCAGATTCTGTGATGTTAGAAACCGCAGTCTCGGTTGGGGTTTCGACCACAGGAGGTATTTCTTCAGTGGTAGAGTTTGGACTTTGCGATGTCATATTTGTTTCAGATTCCACGGTTTGACCAGTGATCTCCGAGGTGGAAACTGTGGTTTCATTTCGATCTGAAGCTTGTTGCCTCATTTCAGTTCCAGAACTTTGACTTTGTGGTGCAGCTGTTGCCTCAGATTCAATGGGTTTCTCCGTGGACTCCATGACGGAAACTTCATTATCGGTTTGATTTTGGACTGTAATACTTGGAGAAGATTCTGTTGACTGGGATCCACTAGGAGTGATTTCCATCGTATTTTTAGTTAAGGATTGGTCAGTACCCTGTAATTGGGCCTCAATTACGTTACTGGAGGAATTTGATTCAGTAATTGCTTCACTGGCGTTTGAAGGTTGTGTTGTCTCCCTATTTAACGAGGGTGTTATTGTGTATGACGATGGTAAGACTTCATCAACAGCTACAATTGTTTCTGCTGGCTCCATAGAGCTTCTTGTTGATTTATAACTTAAAGTGTCATCATTCGGTGTTACGGAAACCGAGATGTTATTTTCGATAGTCATATGACTTTCCTCGGCTTCATCGATTTCCAATTCCACAGATTCTTCTTGAATGTCACCAGAGGTGCCCTTTGATGTTTCATTATCAGCTTGAGTAATGGATTCTATGGTTCCCTCGGCTGAAATTTCCTCATTCAAATTTTGAGTAGACTCTTGAGCCGGTACAGAGAGAAGGGATGCTGATGAAGTTTCAGTCTCTTCTACTGGACTTATTCTGGGTTCTGAAACTTCATTAGAGGCACTTGATGTTTGATCGGCTTGCTCATTATTTTCAGTTTTTGCATTTTCAATTTTTTCTTTTAGAACTTCGGTTGGAGTGTACAACTGGGCGGTTGAATGGTCTTGGTGTTCCCTCGATGTTGGCATTGCGGGAAGTTCAATGTTTTCAGTAGCTGATTCTAATGGTACTTCACTATTCGACTTCTCTTCTAGAACTTCAGTTCCTATAACTGTCGAAGTTGTAGGCAAGGGCTCTACAACTTCTGATGCTGTTGTTGCTGCGGGAGTACTCAAAGACTCCATTACTGGAATATAACTCGGCATAGCTTTTTCGGATTCTTCAACTTTTACCTCCTCTACTGGAACTTCAGGTGTCTTTACCACCCTTTCCACCAATGGCGGTAATGGCAAATCCTCAATTGTTGTTGGAAGTGATGATTCTGCAGACTCACTTGCCAATTCATGAATAGTTACTGGGATATTTTTCACCACACTTTCCGGTCGAGTTTCTTCCTCAATGGCCGGTGGAGCTTCTGGTGCCCGGTACATTTTATAAACCTCTCTAGAAGCATCCGCCATAGAATCAAATTTAAATTGTTGTTGATGTTCCCTTTGCAATGCCTTGTCAAAGGCCATCTGGAAAGTAGCTATCTCGGCGGTGTACACATACTCTGGTGGTAGTTCCTCCCGAATCGAAGCATTTCTCAGATTCGGTTTTATTACCTCCTCCATTAGGAATTCATCTTGATCTATTGGTGGTGGCGGTGGTGGAAGTGGTGTGGCTTCAATGTCATCCACAACTTCTTCTGCTCCTTGAGATTCGTTTGGTATTTCCAATTTTGTTGTGACCTCTGTATCTTCCATTAATTCCATTTCGACCTGTTGTACCAAATTCGGAACAATCTCCTGGATATGCTGCCATACAAAATTCTTGACGTCTGCCTCATTTTCCATGCCATTCTTCTCGGGAGAGGATTTCTGCTGCTGCTTAAATTTGGATGTGTTAATGGGACTTTTGGTTAGTATGCGCATGTCCTCGGGATCTTCAAAGTCCGCCACGTCCGATCGGTTCTGTTTCATATTGTCAATCATGTCTTTGATGGATCTGAGCACTTGTTCGTTTTGCTTTTGTTGATTCTGTTCCATGCTGCCGATTAGTGATTCCAAATCTTTTAGCATACTTTTGTTATTGAGAATGGCATCATCGATGGGCGGCGGTGGAGGTGGTAGGGGGCTGGCGGCATAGTCTTTCATACTGGCATTGCTGCTGTATGTGGAAGTGTTATCGGGCAGATTATGGTGTGGTTCATAGGCATTCATTATTGATTCGGGTAGATCGAATGGGGAGGGTGGTGCTTGGCTGGTGTTGGCGGTATTGGTATTGGGTGATGGAAAAGCTCCATTCGCATTGGGTATTTGCATGCAATCGGAAGCATTGGCACTGAGAAAGTTATGAATGTCTAAAAATGAGAAAAAGGAAAAGAACGAAAAATCGTTATGAGCAAATGATGGGCGAGTAGAAACAAAGTAGAGAAGAGAGCTGTGGCCTTTGCCGTAGGTTTAGCTAACCTTTGTCCATGCCATACGCTGATGATTCGTTGTTGTTGTGGTGCGAGGGCGGAATGATCATGGCACCACTTTCGTTTTCAACGCCACCTGGTGAACCCCAGATGCGCATTAGAAATGGCTTTAGTTGAGTGCGGCCCAAATCCATTAAAGCCATTTCCACATTGCCCTGATGGGTGGTCAGAGCTGTGACCACATCTTCACGCGAGAAATTTCCCTTGCTGGATATTTCACGATATTTGCGCTGACGTTGTTCGATACATTCGGAAACAGCTTGCCAAATGTTACCGGTATGCAGGCGTAAGGCTTCACGGGCTTCCATTTGGGAAATGGTACCAATGGTGTTTTCGGCACGTTCTTGGCCATATTTGGTTGCCAAACTCTGTACGGTTTGTATTAGTTTGGGCCAATTGTCTCGCAGCCAAACCAGGGGATGCATATCGGGTCCACAGTATTTCAGGGCAGCATTTAATTCCTCGGTGGTGTATTTTAATAAATCGGATTCCTAGAGATTAGTAAAAGGATAGATATTAGAATCAGTTTAAAGATCATTTAGATGCAGCTCGGCTATACTTTATGATGATCCATGCCGCTGTGACGAAACGATGATGATGACAAATCATAACTACTGCCGGTGAGGGGAGAATGCATTTGTGATGATGCCTGTGTGGGAGTAAATGAAAATGATAACAAAGGATTAGTGGGGATTTCAAGGATATGTTTGAGAGTGTGTGGTTTTGGGGGGTATATTTACTCTTTGCAATAGCTGCAGTTCGCTGATGGAGGGATGTCGCCTTCCCATGCCACCTCCATGATATGCCTCAAAGTCCATGGACATAGCATCATCCATACGTAAATCATTGTTACTGCGATACCGTTGATAACGCTCATGATTGGGATAATAGGATTGTGGATTTTGATTATTTTGAAAATGCTGATACGGTGTGGAGGCAATGTGGGAGATGTTGTGTATATTGTGCAGAACTTCGTTCTCAAATGATTTCAAATCATGAATTTTGGTTGTATTGGGGAAATTGTTTGTCTGCTAAAGAAAATAATATAGGATATAGAAATGAAAATGATGAATGATAGTAAATATACAAATAAAATGGGGGATATGTATATGTGATTTTGCAAAAAATGTATTCTGGATGAAAAAAAAATTATCTGTAGAAGTCCGTGCAGCAGTGCTGGGCATAACTAAATTGAGAGTAAGTCTGTTTGAGCGCAACTGAGAATTCATCATTAAAAACGACTGATGAAAAGAAAAAAAGGTTATTACGGTAGCCACAGCATGGCTGCTTTTTAGTCTATGTATAAAGGTCTTATAAAACCCCTGTGGAAAGTATTTCATTCAGATAAAACTAAGGGTATTCTATATATAAGACATTTAGATGATATGATGTCTATAGGGGATCTCTGAAAGGTCTTCGATTTGTATTAAACTCTTGGAAGAACCTCAGAAGGACTCACAAATATATATCTTGTATTCCAAATAATTCTGGAAGGTCTCTGTTCTTTTGAAGAACAGAGGCAAATCTTCTAACTCTGAAAAATCTTTAATCTATAGAAGACTTGCGATATGTTCATTTAGAGGTCCTCAATTCTATATGAGACTTCAGAAATATAATTTATCTATTGACAACATCCAATTTTTTACCTACTTTATTAGGTGTCTTACGGACATATATAAGAACTATGGAAGATATTTTATTCAGATAAAATTATAGGTATCCTATATATGACATTTAGGTGCTCTGATGTCTACAGGAGATCTCTGAAAGATCTTCGATCTGTATTAAACTCTTGGAAGGACCATAAAAGCCTCTGAAATATAGATTGTATTCCTTATACTTCTGGAAGCCTCTTTTCTTTTGAAGAACCCAGGCAAATCGTGTAACTCTGAAAATATTTAATCTGTAGAAGACTTGTGGGATGTTCTTGGTCTACAAGAAACCTTAATTCTATATGAGACCTTAGAAATATATGTTATTTATTGACAACTTCCATTTTTCCTATTTTATTAGGAGCCTTGTAGACCATTTATAACTTTTATGGGGTTTAGAATATCCGTAGTTTTCTAAATCTCTAAAATTCCAATCAATTACTATCTAATGAAATGAGAACCTTCTCCTGAATTCAAAATTATGCCAAAAGTCAAAGATCCACCTTATCATCCCACATTCAGCAATAAAAATACTCACCTGTATTGCATCATGAATACCATTGGTCATCAAAGGTTTTGCAGGAGGAGTTTCTTCCTTATCAGCCATTTTTCGTAAGGGCAAAGTTTCATAAGTCTAGGAAAAAAAGTCAGGAATTTTAATAATAAAGGAATCTAACCCGGCAAAAAGGGCATGAGAAAACCTACTTGGGTCGAAATGGTTTGAGGTGGTGGCGAAGTGCCAATTTCTCTGGCCTGAGATTTGCGTGACTCCTCTACTTGACTTTCAACGCTGGCCGATTTGCTACGCCTGGACGGGCCACAAGCCGTCGATACCTTGGTGGAGGTTTTCTTTGCTGATGGCGCAGATGAGGCGGTTTCAGCTTTGCGTGACACTTCATTGGCTGTGGCCTGTATATTTTCATCCAATGCCGCCCATATATCTTCCACAGATTCTACAACATCGAGTCGAATACACAAAACAAGAAAGGGGGAATTAATAAAACAACGTCAATTGTGTTTCAAGGGTATGGTGTATTTTGTTGTTGTTAAATATTGTTAATTTTGTTGTTGTTGTAACTGGTGTATTACAATATATGTACGTATATAAAAAATGTTACTAAAACTAATGAAGATCATAATTATTATTGGGTCAGTAAGGAGCTGAAGAAGGCGAAGACGACAAAACAAAAGTGAGAGATGCTTATGGGATGTGTGGGTGCGGTTGGTGGTTTTTGTCTTAGCTAAATTTTGTTCCTTCCAAAAATGAGATTCTCCTTGGCCTACCTTTCTTTTTCAGTGTATTGGTGGAGTTCTGGGAGGAGGTTTCTGTTGTTGTTGCTGCTTCGTTATTAACTGTTGTTGTAGATGAAGTTGTCGATGTATTCTTGGCGAGTATGGATTTCGCCTTTTCAGTAGATGTTGATGCTGATGAAGATGTTGTTGTTGTGGTGGTACCGCTTTTTTGCTCCTTTGTTGTTTTAACCGACTGAACTTGTTTAGGTGGTGATACGGATTTGGTTACCAATTTGGGTGGCTTGCTCGGGGTTTTACAACAAATGGTGCAAATTTTAATATTTGGCTCATTGACGAATGTACAAAATTCACATTCCCATTCTTGGTCTGGAGTAGAGGGTGGTGGTCCCAATGACACAGCATCGTCATCCAACAAAGGTGGTTCTGGTTCAGTTCCATTTACCTCACCATTTTCATGGACATTTTCGGTATTTGTTTCTTCTACATTTTCCACCACGGGTTCTTGTTGCTCTTCAACTTCCTCTTCCACTTCTTCTTCCTCCTCCTCTTCTTCTACTTCTTCCGATTCACTTTCTGTAACCGTTTTCTCCGGCAGTTTTTCTTCTTTTTTCTTGGCATGACCCACAGGCGTTTGAACGGCCATCGATTGTTTCGGTTTGGGAGGTGATTCACTTCGACGTTTCGATTTTGTTTGTTTTTGCTGTTTTAGGGATTCTTCTTTGAGTTTCTGTTCAATTTTAGCTTGAACCAAGGCTCGTGTACCCGAACCCTCTGAATCTAAATCCGAATATATTCGATTTGGTGCTGGTTTTTGTCTTGGACTATTGAATCCTGAGTCACCGGAACGATTGTTGCTGGTGGATATTTTTCTACCCGGTGCCCAATCATTGTGCACGGACTTCGCCACAGAATCTCTGCGTTGACTGCGTACCCGTGACCTTTGCTGACCAGAATCCAAATCGTCTTCCAACTGGATTTGTGATGCACTGGACATACGTCGTTGTCTTGTCCTGGACATAGTCGAACGATTCGAAACCATAGAACGACGATCATCTTCATCGGAATCTTCATCATCGGTGGCTTCGTCGTTGTGATAACTTGCACGTTGTTTTCGCCGCAAAGTGACCGATTTACGGCTTAAGGCTGGAGAGGCCATACGAGAGCCAGCTCGTGATGCAGCCCTAGAGGCAGAGGGAGGCATGCCAACCAAACCTGAAATGGGAAGGGAAATTAGTTATTATGAAATTGATATTTGTGTGTGGTTCTCACCTGGATTCATAACCGGCATTCCCTGCATATAGGGCTGGGCAAACATCTGACCCACCATGCCCCTCTGATTCATAAAAACTGGTGGTGGATACATGCCACTGTGCTGTGGCGGCATCATATAACCGGCCGAAACATTCAATGACAGATTTGAGCGATTTAAATGTTGCTGAGAACTAAGTTGATTGCTCCAAGGGTCATTGTGCATGGCCATGGGATGTGTGTGGCCCCAATTACCTTGTTGGGAGTGACTGCAGTTGGCACAGTTCAATTGAGCCATGGATTGGGCCTATGGGAAAAGGAAGATTATTTGCATTATTTTTCATCGAAAATAATTGCTTGTAGCTCACCTGTTGCATTGGATTATTGGGCCAGCCATTATTCATAACCGGTGCCTTACGCGGCGACTGATTCAAATTGAACACTGACGAGGACATGCCACGTTGACCCAATTGATTTGCCCTCTGGGCAGCCAGCTTGTGATGATGCAGGGCCAATTGGCGCTGGTGGAACAAATTGAAACTTGAATCGTCCGTTAGATCAAGATGAGATGAGTTGATACCAGATGACATGCTGCCAGAACGAAAATGTGATGGCGATGGTGAAATGCTAGACCACTGATCAAACGCATTGTGATTCTGATTGGATGGTTCAGAGAGATTGACGACGACACAAGACGTGATGGGTACATTCCATTACCAAACATCACAGTGGACCCAAAACACACACACAAAGGAGGCCATAAACACCATATAGAGACGCCACGAACAATAATTATTTGTGTGGGTGAGGTCGGGGTGTGGGAGAAAACACAATGGGGGAAACAAATTGTTATGAATTTCAATGAGAGAGGAAATGTCAGGAAGATATTCTCAAGATGAAAAAAGAAGAAAAACAGATCGCAATTTCTCGCTCTCAAACAGAGAGTGAGAATAGCTAGAGAGAGAGAAATTAGCTTTCCTATTGATTGTTTACCTGTTGCTCGCTGCTATAACCATTGCGATCTCTTTCCATCTGCTCTTTCTGTTGACGGTAGCGTTGCTGCAACATCTGCATGCGATCTAGTGTGGCATTTGCTTTGTTCTTTATCTTCTCCAAGACGACCGAGGGCGGTCGTTGTATATTGTCAAATACCGATTTAGGCGTAGTACAGCGTGACGATTCACTGGGAGTGGTGGGTGTTTTTGGTGTTTCCGGCAGTGGACGATTCAGAATGCTCAAGCCACGTTTCAGAGAGCCGACCCGTTCGTGCCAGGAGGCATTTTTCATGGAGGGTGTGGGTGAAGGCGGTACCGCCGGAATCGGGTTGGAATTTGCCTGATTTAAAAGAAATCGAAATACAAAATCAAAATTGTAATACTCAATTAGAGAGAAAGAGAGAGAAAGTGGTTTTCAAATGCTGTTTATTTTTCAATTGTTGTTCAAAAATTATGAATGTTGTTGTGAAGCTGTTACAATTTTGTTTAGCCAGAAGGGGCAGTGGTAATGGCAAGCAAAAAATTTAGATTTTTATTTCAATAACGAACGTTTCTATTGTCAACGAGCCAACAAATACGCTATGTATCTCGTTTAGAAAATCGTGCAGTAGCGTACCTGATCCTTGCGTTGCATTAATGGTGTCATTAGGCCACGTTTGTTACGTCTTGGTGGGGCTACTGGCGGTGTGGGTCCAGGTTGTCCGGGTAGAAGTTTGGGTGGTAGCGGTGGGTTGCTTTGTTCCAATGTCTGAAAAAAAAGATTTAAAAAATAGTAAAAAATATTTTTTGAAAATTATACAGAGAGAAGGTTCAAGGATAAAACCAGAAGGAGAAGATTCCCTAAATGTGGTTAATTTTTAATTCAGAAAATTTTCTATAAGTAAACTACACTCTGAAGATCTTTTCAAAACACTTATATAAATGTAGTAACTTTTTTTGATACTATTTTTGCGGATCGGATTTGAGGTCTATGGATTTGCTTCAGGAAGAAGATATTCTAAAGTTTTCTAATGTAGAAACCAGCTAACGGTCATTTACTTGTAAAAATATCTAAGTAATTAATTTTTTTTTCTCTCATTCAAATTATCATCATCCTTACAGGAAAAACTGCAATAAATAAAAAGAACTACAACATATTAAAGTGTTTTCATACGGAAGGAATAAAATCTATAGATACTGCAGATTTTCTATAGATACACCAATTTTATAGGTAGAAAGCCTTAGAATGGTATTATACATATAGAATACATTCAAACCTATAGTCCTTTCCTTTTCACCTTAAACTTCTCCGTTGCAAAGTTTCAACTTACCTTCCTCAGATGATTTTTACGTTTTGGATGCTTATGGAACATGTCATCGCAGGATGCACAGAATATTTGTTTCGAGCATTCTTCGCACATGACCCAGGGATTTGATGAACCGCAAAGGGTACATTTCAATTTGGTATCTGTAAAAAAATGCACACATTTTTAATGCTACCATCAACATTTTACATCGCTCACACATACCTGGTGTCTTCGAACCAGAACTAGCCGATGATGGCCTCATTGGGGTATTCGAATATTGTTGTTGATTTGAAAATTCAATAACTTCATAATCCGGTTCAGGTTGAGCAGAAGTTTTTGGCGGCAATGCTGGTTGTTTAACTGGTGCTGTGTTAATATGACCATTTTCTGAATTTAGAGGAGGCGGTGGTGGTTTGGGACCCACACGATCACTTTGTTCTGTCTAAAAGGTGTATTATAATATTATTTATTACTCATTTTCGAATTTAATTTTCAAGGTGCAAAATATAACTTACCACCCATGCTGGCATAGTGCGTTCATTGCGCATTAATAAATTTCTATTATTTGCTTGTAAGGCCATTTCCGTGCTAAAATGAATTTAAAACCAACAGAAAATTAATTTCACATTTGTTTAGAGGGACGTTTTTTCTGTCCGCCCATCAAGAAAAGGCTAAATATTTGGCAAATAACCGATCGTTCTTTACAAGAAAAGACAACAACGTTTAAATTGGGTGTCTGTGCTACGAATGAGGCAAATTGTTTAAAAATATTTCAAAAGCATATGAATATTTTGTCTTCTTCTTCTACTTAGATGCGAAATGAAATAAAATTTGAGATGATTAAAATGTGTATGGTAGAGGGGATGTGCAAAGAATATGGCAAGAAAACTTTGAAAATGTTTTCTTTTTTACACACAAACAAATCATTAAAGGCGATGACAACCTCTTTGCTTTTTTTTTGGAAAGCCACACGATATTTAAGGAAGAAAAATATAGAACACTGACAGAGAGAGAGAGCGAAGTTGTGAAGAGACTATTTCGAAATAAACCCAACATAAATATTTTATTGATTTCATTTTAGTTTGAAGATATGTATGTGTTTGGAAATGGAAGACGTTTCATTTAACATCATGTGAAACATATGTCGTATGAGTAATTCGATGAAACATTCGTCACCAGGGATCTCCATAATAAATGTTGGAGAGTTCGTCTCTCTGAGAGTAAAATGGTTTCTTAAAATCAGTAGTGTAATCTTGGCGTTTTTTTTTTTAATGTGAGACTAAGGGTAATTTGTGCCATAAGAAACTAAAAATAATTTTCTATAAAAAAACAAGTTATTGTATAGATTTTATAAAATATATTAATATTTTGAAAATTATTGAAAATCAAAGGACAAATCAGAAGAAAAAAAATGCAAACTTGTCGAAATTGGAAATTAACTGGCAATAATCATTGCCTTAATCGCCTTATACCAAAACATTGCAGAAGAGTTGGAGAACACCTAAATAAGATCCCTATAAAAAATAATTTAAAACACTTAATCCATTCGAAAGCTATAACGAAATTGCTATTGTGGTTTAAAACATGGATTTTAATATATTATGTATATATAATTTTTATTCCTACATCTAGACCTGATCCGTATAGACTAACACAAAACAAAAAACTGCACGATAGTCCAATTTTTGAATGAATTAAAGCGTTGATTTGGAGGGGTGCAAATCTAAGGAAGGAAAATATAGAACACTGACAGATAGAGAGCGAAGTTGTGAAGAGACTATTTCGAAATAAACCCAACATAAATATTTTATTGATTTCATTTTAGTTTGAAGATATGTATGTGTTTGGAAATGGAAGACGTTTCATTTAACATCATGTGAAACATATGTCGTATGAGTAATTCGATGAAACATTCGTCACCAGGGATCTCCATAATAAATGTTGGAGAGTTCGTCTCTCTGAGAGTAAAATGGTTTCTTAAAATCAGTAGTGTAATCTTGGCGTTTTTTTTAATGTGAGACTAAGGGTAACTGTGCCATAAGAAACTAAAAATCATTTTCTATAAAAAAACAAGTTATTGTATAGATTTTATAAAATATATTGATGTTTTGAAAAATATTGAAAATCAAAGGACAAATCTGAAGAAAAAATGCAAACTTGTCGAAATTGGAAATTAACTGGCAATAATCATTGTTTTAATCGCGATTGCTGACTTCTACTACAAAAATTTGCAGAGGCGGTGGGGAATACCTAAATAAGATCCCTATGAAAAAATAATTTAAAACACTTAATCCATTCGAAAGCTATAACGAAATTGCTATTGTGGTTTAAAACATGGATTTTAATATATTATGGATATATAATTTTTATTCCTACATCTAGACCTGATCCGTATAGACTAACACAAAACAAAAAACTGCACGATAGTTCAATTTTTGAATGAATTAAAGCGTTGATTTGGAGGGGTGCAAATCTACCACGGTTATTGATCTAATACTTAAATTTAAAAATTTCTAAAAATTATATATATGTAAAATATTTGTAATTGTTTTATTCTTTTATAAATAAAAATAGGTTGGGGAAAAGGAAATACATTCTTTCGGCAGGTGACTGTACTGATAGATTTTTCGTAGAGTATCGATCAAAGAACTTCAGATTTATGCTCGTTGGAAGCGTGACATTTCGCAGTAAAAAAAATATGCAAGCCAAGCGGCTAAAATTGTGAATGGTGTTTATGGTTACGATGGTTACAGAGACAAGTTTGTAATTAAAAAATGTTTTTAAAATAATAAGGGCCTTTCAAGGCAAATGATTTTAAATAACACTATGTAACAAGATTTGGGATTCTAGAGTGAAATACTCGCCACATTTCATGAAGAAAATGTTTATATATTTGTTTGCGACTATTGCCGTTATTTTTGATGTGGCATGTGTTCAGTAAAATTAAATGGAGAATATTTTTGTAAAATATATCTTCCTTATATCTAGAGTCATTGTGCGTCTTGTTCGTGTTTTTTTTTTTTAAACTAAACACCACAAGACGATTTTTTATACCCTTCACCACACTATGGTACAGGGTATTATGTCTTTGTGCATATGTTTGTAAAGAAAACGAGATAGCCACATGGTTCCTTTTGAGAATATGCCTTGAATCATTTTTGATGCATGTTCGTTCCTCTGTCCATGTTGAATTTTAAACAAAGTACATTTATAATCCGAATTGGATGGAATTTTGCACAGTTCATTTATTTGGCCCAAGGGCGAACCCAGTTTGAAATTGAAAAAAATCCGTTCAGATTTACATATAGCTCCCATATATAGTTTTGTCCGATTTTAAGTGCATGTGCACCAAAGACCCAAAGTTAAGCCGATTGGCACAAAATTTTGAATTTACTATAACATAACGTGAGTCAAGTTGTATTGAAATCGGTTCAGATTTAGATATAGCTCCCATATATGGTTTCGTCCGATTTTCTGTAAACGGTGCATTAAATACCCAACGTAAGGCCGATTGCCACACAATTTTGAAAAGGTACTAAAGTTGGTATAGCCTAACGTATGTCAAGCTTTGTTGAAATCAGTTCAGATTTAGATATAGCTCCCAAATTTATTTTCGTACCATTTGAAGTAAATATATATTTTCGGCCGATTTCATGTTATTTGGGTTCCTATAGTCAACGGTAGTCAGATTTAGATAATTTTTCCCATTGTAAACAAACGAACCTATATCTGTCATAAAAAATTGAAAAATTGAACTTCAAATATTCAACAACAATTTCACTCATACGATTATCGATTTTTTATCGTCCTTTTCAAATTTTACCAGATTCTTGCTAATAAATTTCAAATAAATTGTACGTTATGAAGAACTGCGACTTCTGTAAATCACTTCAGATTTAGATATAATTCCCCTATATATATTTTCGTCTGATTTCAAGTAAATGGTCCACCAAGGGAGATACTTCTGATCAATTGACACGAAATTATGCATAGGTTGCCGAACTGAATAAAAGATGACATGCGCCAAGTTTGATTTAAATAAACCTCAGAGATATTTCGTTTGATTTCTTGTACGTCAGTCCGATTGACTCGAAATTGTGTATATCATTCCAAATTGAGTCTAAAATAATATTTATCAAGTAATTTTTAGTTTTAATGGAATATTTTATATATCTAAGGTGTTATAGTCTATAGTGCAGATCACTGAAACTATTTGAACAATTTACACCCGATTTTTATATTAGATTTTTTTTTTATTGTTAAGACAATTTTTATTGTTTTCGCCTTCTTCAGCAGCTCTCTTGTGTTGTAAATCAATTAAAAAGTCAACTAATTTCCAAGTGCGTCTGGAGAAGTGCATCTAGAAAACGTCTGTTAAGTTTTCCGTTTGTAATACATCGAAAATATCTTCATAAATTTTTGATATGTTGCAAGTTCTCGAACTCCTAAACAAATTACAATTGATCACCAAAATTTTACGTTTAGGTATATCTGTCATATAGAGGTATTTGAGGGATTTTAACGATGATATAAATTGGAAAATATCGACTAGATGACCAATTTATTCGACCTTATTCTGTTTCCAATATTAACTAGTGTTCATTTATTTTAGATTTCCTAATTGACCAAATGGTACGCAATATATTGGAGAGAATGGACGTACCGAAGAGCATATGATCGTTAGGGATGCCTATGGTTTTATTAAATGTTCCTATTATTTTTCTTGATCATTTTTGCTATCAATCTTTCAAAAATTAAATGATTTTTCTAACAATTCAAAATTTGTCCAATATATAACGATTTTTTCGCTCTACAGACTTAGAAACACTGCCTCATATAAACATATCTTCTATTGTTTATTTTCTCTATGTATTATTACTCTCTTAGAGAATATTTAATAGAGAGGAAAACGGCAACATTTAAAACATAAATGCATAACATTTCTCTGAATGCATGTATTTTCATTCTCTCTCATTTCTATACTTCCGTAAAACGAAATGCACTCTCTCTCCCTCTCTCGCTAAAGGAAATCTGTCCTCTGATGAGAAAATATGCACTCGAAACAAGGTATTTTTTCATAGTTCCAAACTAAAAAATCTTGATGAGTGTTTTTATTCTTAAGTAAGGCCAAAAAATCCAAAGACCCATATTGCAAATATTGTTCTATTTTCAAAGGCCAAAAATAAATATTGTCAGAGTGGCATCCGTTGTGAGGAAACGGCAAAACCGAAGAAATGCAAATGTATGGCGGCGTGTGTGAAAGAACTGGTGTCTGAGGCAGGCAAACAGGCTGGTTGGTTGGCTGGCTGCCTGCTTGATTGCTTGCCGGTGATGCTGCTAGTGGTGGTGACGTTAAGATAGATGACGATGTGGTTGCTGCTAGTGCGGCTAGTGGCAGTGTAAGTAAGCCCAGGGAGACGTTGTTGTGTTATTTTTGAAATATCGACAACTATTTTTAAATGGCGCACAAAGCAAAATTTAAGACTTTTATAGGCAAAAATTTTCACAATTTATTTTTAGATGATTTTTTGTTTCGAAATTTTTTGCTTTTTATATTAAATTTGAATTTATTTGAAAATTGCTTTTTATTTGCATTTTAATATTTATTAATTAAAAATACACTGCTTACACTTCCTGTTTCCGTTTTTTCTTACTTTGATTTTTGGTTTTATTTTGCAATTCAAATATTATAATATATATAATTTTCTTTTTAAATTATTTTTAACTTTATCGTATGTTGTTCGTTTTTTATTGCTGGTGTCGTTTTCATCGATTTGAATATTATTTTTTTTATTTAGGAAATTTTCTTGTAATTTAAATTGATTATTTTACTTTCATGAAATTGTGTACATTTTATTTTTAATGTTTCGGCCTAAATAGCGTTTCTTACATAACTCGCGTGCCGTTCACAAATAAATGAATTGTCGTCCGACTTTAGACAATTTGTTTCTCTTGCTATTCGCACCGTCGATATGATTTTGTTCGTCGTCTATATCGTTTAACTTCTGCTCACAAACTGAACATTTGAAATGTCGCCGCGTACGGCAGAAGTGTTGAAATCGTATTCTCATTCTCTGGGCCAAAATAGAAGACGGCGACAACGATGAAGATGTGCAGAACACATTTCCTTTGTCAAACGTACTTTGGTCAAGAGTGTAACAAAAAAGCATCGGAGGCTGTGGTAGATCGAGCCTTGGTGACGCACTCTTTAGCAACTAAAAAAATTTGAGATCTCTTTCTATTCTCGTAATGCCAAGCAAACATTGTTGACATTTCCCTAAAGGAGAATGACAATTTCTTGGTAAGGAAAAAAAAGAAAATATAAAAACCAATTCATTTCCTAATGATCTTGTAAAGAAGAGGACAAAAAAAAAAAAGAAAATCCGTGCGGAAGGGTGTTACTTGTTGGCGATGATAAATTAAAATTAAAACGGAACGCAGACAAAATTGTTTTGTTTTGATTTTTTTTCGCCTACCAAAATAGAAAACATGAAGATGTGAAAATTGTCTGAAAACAAATCAGAAAAAAACATGCCGCTATTTTGTCAATTTTCTTATTTTTTTCTTGAGATTTTTTCGTTAGCCTCAATTAGCTAGTATATACAGCTCCCCACTCTCTCCATCTTGGCTAAATTGTTTTATTGGTTAATCAATGCGCCGGAATGACGACATTTTAAAAATCCCGCATAATTAAATTTACAATGTTTGAGATTTATTTTTAATAGTAGCTATTTTTGTGGTTTTCGATAAACAATTTTGATTTAAGATTTTTAATTACGAGCTATAGCCAAATAGTTAATTTCTTGATCTTTACAAAGATTTATAGTAGACAATTTTGAAATTTTATGGGTCGATTATTAGAACGATCATTCGATTGTAGTGAAATAAATAAAAAAACAAATATTTTTTTTTATGAATTGAATTCCAAATGTTTGAATTGAAATTTTATAAGAAAAAAAAAACAAAAAAGTAAGGAAAGTACCATTAACATAAAATCGGACAAACTATATTTGGAAGCTATATGTAAGTCTGAACCAATTATTCCCAATTTCAATAGGGTACGTCCTTGGGCCAAAAAAATGAGCTATGCCAAATTTTGTCCAATTCGTATCATAAATGCGACCTGTACTTTGCTTTCAGACAGGCGGACGGACATGCATGTGGTGTGGTGTCAAAAGGAACTATGTATCCATTTGCCTGTTACAAACATGTGCACAAAGGCCTAATACCATGTACCACAATGTGGTGAAGGGTATAATGACTTCAGCAGGACTCCACTACACTCTTTCGCCAATTTCGGTAACTCTTTAATGGGACATTTTCTCTCGTTTATAAAATCCTGGTTATCAGTTTTGTCTGATCTTACTCCAAAATGTTCAAATTGGACACCAGTCTAAGTAAAAATGTCGTTAAATTCGACCGGGACGAAATTTTTATAACCTTTACCATGTGGTGTGGTGTCAAATGTTTTTAAAAATGTCGGGAAATACTGTGGAGTCTATGTCATTGTAAATTATTTTCTGGTGCACTATGGGCCAGATATCCCATAGCCATAATTAAAGCAGTGGGAAATAAATAAATATCACATATAAGGGTCTCGAGGACGCTGATTACTATTCCGAAGGAAAAAACAAAAATTTAATAGAGTGAACCGTAAACGGTGATCAATTTTTAAAGTTGAATTAATCAAATTATTTTTGAACACGTTTTGTTGAGCTATGCCACTAATAGCAAATGTGAAACCAAATTATGAAAATCAAATAAAATGAGTCCAAAATGGGTGATCAAATATAAGGAAAAAAACTAAATATTAGGTTGGGGAATTTTTATATGAACTATATGACTCTATTTAACATGCTTCGGAATGTCCGATTTAGGCCAAAAATGCACCGTTTTGGTGTAGATTTTTTGCTATTTTAAGAGTAACTTCATAATGCCTCTCTCATAGAAGTCCTGCTCTTTATTTGAAAAACAACCTCGTAGTCAATTTTCACAATCCTCCTAGATATAATTTTTTATCATTAAAGAAATGTTGCAATGCAAGAAAAATATGATAATCGCTTGGTGCCAAGTGCTGACTGTATGGCGAATGCTTAAAACTTCCCAACCAAGCTCCCGAAGTTTGTGGTGAGTCAATGTAGGTGTGTTGTCCTGGTGGAACACGACACTTCACCTGTTGACCAATTCTGTCCGTTTCTGGTTAATTGTAAAAGGTTTAAAATAGTGATATTACGACTACCAACATGCCGGTGAACTTCTATCATTTCTCAGATTTTATCGACATTTTCGACGACCAGTGGTGCGAGGTGCATCTTTAACATCAAAAATTCCTGAAACGAAATCTACGAAATTGCACATAATTGACTGTTACAGTATCGGAACCATGAACACCATTCACAATTTTAGCCGCTTGGCTTGCATTTTCGCCTTTGTCAAAGAAAAACTGTGAAATGTACCGAATTTTCTCTTTGTTCACTTCCATTTTTAGTACCCTGTAACTCACAACTGACAAAAAACAAACAAAACAGCAAACTTATTTTTTTTTGCTTCTAACGTAAATCCAACGAGCATAAATCTGAAATTGTTTGATCGATACTTTACGGATTTCTTTGTTTTGGAAGGATACTGAAACATGCTTCAATTCTGGATGATCCTTTATATGGATAGTATACTAAACGCGACCTGATTTAAATACCATACCTGATTTATATACCATAGTATTCTAGGAGAGCCAAAAATCTCTATTTTATGTTTTGATACATAACAAAAAATTTTACGCTTATCAGGAATATACAATCTGTTGAAATCATTTGGCTCCACTGTCTTTTAAGAAGAAAGCCAAATATGGTAATATTGCTGTAAGAAAATAACCGTTATCCCAGCAAATTTCTATAAATAATTTTAATTTGTTGTTGTATGTTAAAAACAAATTTTATTAACAAATCGCTATTTATTAATAAAATATTTAAGTTTTGAAACTAAATTTAAGATTTTGAATAACAAATCTACGGCGTTAACTGGGACAATTCTGCAGAATCTAATATTAAAATTTAAGTTTAATTATATTTTCACATTAAATTTAGATTACAGTTCTAGTTCATAGCATAATTAAATTTTATATTAATTTATTTAAATTGTTATTAACAATAAGAAACAAACATCTTAATGTTGCATTAAAAGCTTCCTGAATTTAATTTATACTATACAGCTTTTAGTACTTAACATTTTTTTTATTTCAAAATAACATACACTGTAACGTTTATAAAACATATCCACTGTAACATAGCATTGTCAACGAAATGCAAATTGTTACATTAAAAAGCTTTTTTATGCTTGCCGAACATTCTCTGTAAACCCCGCTATGTAAACAAATCATCTGTTTGCGGCTGTTGACAATAACAGAGAAAGCTCCACCCTGCGTATGAGTGTTATATTCCTTTGCTGCTTGGGGAAAACGAAGGTTTAGTAGTTAGAAATTATACGGACACAACGGAGTGAAATTGTGAATAGAGTCAAGGAAAAAGAAGAAAAAATATAAATTTTGATTTTTGAAGCAGAAATTAAGAATTTTTAACAAAAGAATAAAATAAAATTTAACTTAAGTAATACCGACCAAAAGAAATGTGAGAAAAGTATCGAAACTCCGATTAAAAAGTGCCTTTTTGTAAATGAAATAAAGTTTGGTTTGATGGAGTTTTAATATCCTGTGAATTTTTTTCTGTTCGTTGTATAGTGGAAAGTGAAAGAAGAGTGAAAAAAAGAACGAAATGTTAGCATAACAACGAAGAATACTTGTAAAATACAATAAAAAACAAATATTAACGAATATTGACGGCGCTGCAGCTCTGCTATTGCCGTTCGATGGTGGCAGTGTGAAGTTCAAGGAATTATTTTTTTGTTTTCAAAATCCCATTGCACAAGACGATGTCGGCGGTGGCGGCGGCGACGACAACAACGGTGGTGTGTAAAAATCAATAATCATTCAAGCACCACCTGGCCCTTCTCTTCAAATACCTTACTCTGGTGGTGTGCCTCAGGCTAAAAATTGTGTGTGTGCTTTTGCAAACTGGTGGTGGTACGAACGAACAGATGATGAGTATGTCAGGAAATGTGTGTTGTTCAACAAAATAACAAAACATACAACAGGAAAACAGAAGGAAAGCAAAATATAAACAACAACAAAAAACATTGATAAACAATAGAGTGTAATATACTATAATCGGTTAAATTGCGGGTTTTCTGGTCTGCCACAGCGACGCAACCGCTTTCGCTGCAACATTGTGGGACTGTTGTTGCTCGCTGCAGACAAATGCTCGTTTGCGTATACGCGTTCTAAGCTTCTGCCAGCCATGTTGGCTGTCTTATGTGACCAGTCAAGTGTCATTATGACAAATGTTCTTGGCATTGCTGTAGTTCGCCATGTGCATAGCCATGTTGTATAATTGAGTAGAGTGCAACAAAAACAACAACAACTAGAACGTGGTTCAATAGTTACATTGAACTTAAAATGTGGACCAGTAATAAAATAAGTGTGCTAAGAAATCTATCGATATAAATCCAGCAGATCTCTGTGAGAGGTCGACCAACATCAATGTAACAGTTGATAGTGGCTGCTACCAATTTTCTTTGTCGCACTCTGTCTCCAGCTGTCTCTCACCACCTCCACGTGTACTTTGTTTTGAGTGAAACATTTTGGTAATTGTTGTAAATTAGACCGCTCACCTTCTCTCTCTTCGCTCTGCTAAAACAAATGACAAAATGTTCCCCTCATCACCACCCCCGACAGCTGACCAGCAACCAGCAACGGGTGAAACATCACGTATCAAAAGCTTTATGGGCCGTACCCCAGCCATTGGCATACTGAAATCAAAATTCCTGACGGTACTGGGAAATAGTAACGAATTATTAAATGGCATTTCATCGAAGGTAAGCAGTCAAAGTCCTGTGCAGCCATGCACAAATAATGTTTTTCCCTTGTCCTATTTCCTAATCAAAGCGGAGGCGGAAATATTTGTTTATGCGTTTTTTGTCAAACGTGAATAAGCATGTTTTTGTAGGGTTGAGTTACTGCCGTCATTAACCTTGAATTTAGCTTGGAAGTAGACTCAACGAAAACAATCGCACACACACACACTTACAACCCTATTCTGCCATTAATGCAAAGCTGGCAAAATAAAAGTTGAAGAGTTTTTTGCCATAGCCAAGGGCCAGGCCCACCAAACATCAACTACAAAGCGAATCGACGATGTTAGCATATGTTTCAAGGTTTTATTTGGCCAACACGCTTTGCTCAAATCATAACAAAATTGAAGGAGAAGAAGAAGCAGCAGTAGCAGAAGAAAAAAAGGAAAAATGTGTTAGCACGAATGGCAAGGATATGTGTGAGTCGTGTGCCTCCAGCTGCAGCAGTAGCGGCAGCGGCAGCGTCAGTGATAGTAGTTGTAGTAATTAATTGAAAAAGGAAAATAGAAAAACAACAACTATGCCTTCATAACTAAGCATGTGCTTTTGTGACTGACTGACTAACTGCCTGTCTGTCAGCTTAGCTGGCTTTCGGGCTGTCGTGGCATGTCATGGAACCTTGAAAATGCAATTTCTTTACATTTCAAAAAAAAAAAAAAGGAAAAAAGTAGGAACAGACTTTGTATGTGGGCAAAATAAAGAATATTTTAACGTTTTGCATTCTTTGATAATTACATGGCTGCAGTTGTTGTGTGTTGTGTTAGTGTTGTTGTTGTGTGCTGTTACCATTTGAAGGATACTTCCACAACCGGATGATTGTTCTTATTTAATTTTTGTGTGGTAATCTAAACTCGTTTATCTAAACCATTGTTGTGGCATTGCGTGTCTAAGTCAGTATGGTCGGAAATGTTAATATTAATGAAATACCATTAATTGCCAGATAGTGTCAAATAAGTTGTTGAGTACATTAATGAAAACCGTTATATGTAGAAATTTTAAATTTGAGTACCTTTTGGAATAAATAACTTTATAGAAATTGCCATTTGGTAAGGTCGAGAAACACCTATATGACCTATATTCTAAAAATAATAAAACTCCGTATTTGAATGAATTGCGTGTATAAGAAAGTAATAACAAAAATATTGTGTACGCTTATTTGCAGGAGTGGGGAAATTCGATATTTGTTTGCAATTTCGATTTAGATGAATAATTTATCAGATCCTTGAGGATTCAATTCCTTTCGGATATTCATGATTGGTGTGATTCAAAGGTTATTTACGTCGCTATCTTTCAGATAAAAAACCCTGAAAAAGGTTTGGTATATTTCTTGTAAAAAAATTAAGAAAATTTTTTTCTTTTGCTCCATGAGTATAAAGCCAACCAAGCCTCCAGATTTAGTCAATAGAATATTGTTTTCTAGAATAGGACAAAATGCTATGCGGAATTCTGATTCCCATATGATAAAATACCACCTGACAGAATATTAATAATACAAATCCATGTTTTGATATAGGTCTCACCCCACTTTAATCATTTTCATGATTTTAACCATATTTTCTAACTAATAGACTGTAATTTTTGATGACAGGATTTCAGAGGGTGAAGGACAACATCGGTTAGGAGTTAGGGGTTGAAATGGACCAAAACTTTCTTTTTGTCTATTTTTCTGGTCGCCCTAGAGGCCACAATTACGATCCGAATGTCACAAAATTTAGCATGGAGAAGATCCAAAGAATAAGAGTGGTTGTTTTGATTACGATCGGTATTTATTTAATGGGTGAATTAGACCCTGACATAAAAGTAACAAAAGACCGATTTGCCAACTTGTGGTCAAATTTCTTTCTATGGGTTATATATTAAGTTTTTTTCTTTTATATTTAATTTTATTTTTGAACATTTGCTTTATTTATTTTGTTAATTAATGATTAATGTCTATTGTCCGCTTCAATTGGTATAAAATCCTCATATTGGAATCCCCATGGCATTTTTCAAGATCATTTTCATTTTGGAAAAAAATAATGTTTGATGAGTTTTTGAATTCCTTCCATTATTCCATCTTTAACCAACTCTGCGAGGTGTTATGTTTTCAACAGATCACATTACAGAAATCTCTCAACAATATTGCATATAAAATAATAACAATATCTTGCAAATATATTTAATTATTTACAGTTGACCTTAAATATAAGTTCCAGTGATTCAGATTACTGTGATGATGACGAGGAAGAGGTTCCCAAATGTGAGTAGGGTTAATGATTTTTCACAAAATCAATCAAAACTTTTTAACAAATTCTGAAAATTTCCTCACAGATGATGAATCCATTGACTACACAAAAATCGATTACGAATCAAGAAGAGTAAAGGCTAGACGGGCCCATGAAGAGATCATATCAGGACGTTATAGACAACCAAATTTAGCACCAAGTAAGAAAAATACTACACTTAGAATGGGATATTCCAAAATACAATTTTATAAATGTTCTTCACAGGACCTCGCTTAGATGCCTTACGTAATCGTAAACCCGATAAATCCCGATCATCGTCATCCTCCTCCTCATCATCCTCATCGACATCCACATCATCCAGATCATTTAATAATGCCCATGCTCAAGATCGTTCACATGTCAGTAGTACAACCCGATCGGATTCCATTGAATCTCGACATTCGGGTGGCTATGAGAGGAAACGAGCCATAGCTGGGGCTCGACGCAGTGAACTGGATGTACAAAGAGATCTTATGAGACTTAATGAAATGCTGAAACCAAGCAATACTGCTGCTGTATCAGCAGCAAATGTTAGTGTTGGTGGTGCTGGCATGGGTGGCGTTAGCGGTGCTGCAACTGCGCCGGGAGCAGAGGTTACATTGCCGCCAACGTCTGCACCTCATATTGAGGTTCAACCGCCACACGATCGAGATCCTAGTAAATCTTCCATTGCCAATATGGCTGGAACAGTTTCAAGCCATTCCATACGTGTGCCTCCGGTTAGACGTAAAAATTCCAACAGCAGTACTTTAACCAGTTTACGGGATGATTTGGATTATCAGGTTAGCCCAAGTGGAGAGTCCACCGATTGGCGACATTTTATACGTTCCGAATCACAAAATTCTGTGCCTTCGTGGGCCTCTTCGATAAGCTTGGACTGTCGCACCGGCGAGGAGCCCATCAAAGAGTTTATGAAACGTTTCACGGACACCATCTTTTCGAATGCGAATGCCATTGATTTGGAACTGAAATCGGAATTTGGTGCTATGGCCCGCCTCGAAATCGGTAGACAATGGTTTGTGCGATTCCTGCTGCAGCAAAAGAATAAATCGAAGCGAGTCGAAGAGACGACGTTCCATTCGTTAATACAGCATTTTGCCATTGTGTTGTTTGAATGTGGCGAATGTTCGGATTATGGACCGGCCATGATAATGATGAATTTGAGTTTTCTATTCTACAGAGAGGGTAAGGGAAATGTGTGATTTGGAAGATTACTGAAAGAGAAACAGAGAATGAGAAATTTGTGTGTGTGTTTTGCAGTTGAAGTTCCCGGTTGTGATCCATATCGAGAATACTTGTGTACTTTTATACGCGAACAGCCTATTTGGATGTCTTTGAAATTTTGGAATGCTGCCTTTGTGGAGTGCATGGAAACGGAAAGAAATAATCGGCTGAAGTCGCGTCAAAAGAAACAAGAGAGGCGTAAGGCAAAAGAGAAGGCCAAGGAAGAAGTGGTTAAGCAAAAAGGTAACACCGGTGAAGTGAAGGAAAATGAAGACCAGACCTTGGCTACCAAACAACAAGATGTCTCAGAATCTAGCTCATCACATGGTAAAGCAAATCAGCCAAAAAAGGAAAAGTCCACAAAAGCGGGAAATGATCCGGTACAGGATTTCGAAAAGGAAATGGAAAATATTGCCTTTCGACAATTGGCGTAAATATTTGTGACATATAATTTGTGATTAAAAAAGTGATATAAAGTGAATGTGTGTGTGTATTTTCCATTACAGGACCTTCACCAGCAATATCCATGCTTTGGGTGCCCCACAAGATTTGTGTTTGGAATTCTTCAAGAAACAACACTCGGCCGTTGGCCTCAGCAAAGAGAAATCAAAACTTATTCGTGATAATGTTCATCGTATTTATTATGAAACCGAGTTGTGGGGTTCAAAACAATCCTGAAATATTTATTTGATTTGTAGAATATATCGATATCACTGTTCCCTCTTTTGGTAAATCAATTTCAAATCAACGATAAATATCTTGTTATATATTTTTTGTTTTTGTTATAGAGTAGCTAAAAAGAAAAATCTAAATTACACTGTGCTACAAAAATACAGGTTTTGAAAATTAAAAGAAATCTGAAGTTTTTCGAACAGTTAATATGTCGGCTGTAGCACAGTGTTTCAAAACAGAACAACAATAAAACTAAATCAAAGTTTGTAAGAAAAAAAATTTTTGTAGTTAAAAAAATCTGGTTAACAAAAAATATAAATAATAAAACTCATAGATTAGTTAATGAAAATATTAAATAATAAAATTTTAAATGTATGTTTTTTAAACTTGTGATAAATTACTTTGTGATTTCATTGAAACTAAAACCAAAAAAAAGCAAACAAGCAAAACCAAACCACAATACTAAAAGATATTACAATTTAGAATTTAATCAAAATAATTAAAATAAATAAAAAATTTAGCTAATTTTATATAAGTAAACAAAAGAAAATTGTATTATTACTAAAGAAACAATAAGAATAATATGAAAAACTTATGATATATAATATTTAGATTTAATTCAATTGAAAAAAAAATACAAGAAGAAGACAAAAACAAACTACAACTTTTCCCTGTTCTATTACACTCTAAGAACACATAAAAATCTATGAAACAAATACAAATACAATTTAAAAAATACCCAGTAGTTCGAGTAACTGGTGATGAACTAGATATTTTACTAATTACCTGTAAGTACCACTAGTTACCACTTCATACCCTAGACTGGTGAATTTAACATGTGTATGTCATTGGGGAAGTCAATTGTCCCCTGCCTGCGTTACCAGTATACAGTCATTTCGATAGTCGATTCATTACCCTTTGCATTACCAGTAACTACTGAATTAGTATGATGTGTGTAAACAACTTTTTCAGTTGACAAAAAATCCAACAGTCTATTTTGTGTTCCTTTTTGGGGTATGAAGTAACTAGATCACCAAGTAACTAGCTATATAACTATATAATAGCAGACAATTGATATTTTTTGTACAACTGGGTATTAAAATTTACTTAAACATCATCTTTACAATACAAAAATAAACATATACACATATACTATAATATATATAAAAGACTATTTTATTTTGTTTTCTTTTTTTCTCTAACTCAATATATAAAAAATGCCTCATTAACAATCCGTCAACTTTAAAAGAAATAAAAACAAAATAACAAAACTTAATAATAACACAAATCTACTATCATTATTTTATAAAATAAAAAAAAAAAACTAATACCAAAGAAAACATTCAAACAAAAGTTAACAACAAAAATCTGTCTATAAACAAAAATATATAGCAACCAAAGGAAGAAAAACATGAAACTTAAATCATACACCAAAAAGAAAATAGTTTACCACAATCTCTACTGGTATGCATTATTTTTGGAAATTTATATTTATGAAAAATATTAATTGTCGAATGGCAAGTGGAAGCAAAGAACATAATGAGGATAAAATAATAGTAGTATTCGGAATATATCGTTTAAAACAATGTAGAACGAAAGAAGTTTTCAAAAAATACAGCCCTGTCTCAACAGGTTCGTATAAAGGACTTCTTTCGGGGGAGTCCTGTTGGGTTAATATAAAAATTTTTATTGCAAAAAAATTTTTGTTTGCATGGAAAAAATTAACTTCGGGCACCTCCTTTGCCTCGTACCTTTGACGTATCTTTGTACCCTCAGCCTTATGGCTAATGAGGGTATATACACTTTGATACGGTGAAAATGTGCCTCATCGAAATATTGGTTTTAGACCCCATGTATCTTAAATTCGAAGATGGGGAATATCGGTCAACTCCTTCTAGTACCTCGCCCACAAAATGGTCAAAATTGTGCTAAAAATTAATTTTATAATAACATACAAACGGACTATGCGATTTTAACGAAACTTTACACAACCTATTACATTTACCAAGACTAGACCAAGTAGGAAGATGGGGCCCATTGATCCACTCCTTCTGATACCTTCCCCAAAAAATTGTCAAAATTGTGCTAAAAATTAATTTTATAATAAAATACAAACGGAATATCCGATTGCAGCGAACCTTTGTACAAACTATTATTTTTACCCATTGGTCCACTCCTACTGGTACCTCTTCCACAGAAGTTCAAAATTTGGAATATTTATAAATCCGATATCAGGCTTATTCAATGTCAGATTTGAACACAACTTTGTACAACCTCTTCAATAATGTTCAGTATTTATAAATCCAGTATCAGGCGAATGAAATGTCCGATTTGAGCCATACTTTGCACAATCTATTATCGTTGTTAAGGCTACATCAGTCTGAAGATGGGACCACTTGGTCCAGTCCTTTTGGTACACCCAACCCAAAGGGTCAACACCCTCTGCAAACCATGGGGTTAAGGTATATTTTAACTACTACTCTTATGGTGATTTTAATACAAAAAATCTCATTTGTAAAAGAAAACTTTATCAAAACATGTTTATTTATTTTCTTTAAATAATTTATTTATTTTTACCTCCTAGTCCAGATTTTATTACACTGGCATCGTTTTGAATGTTCTTTGCTTGATGTTGGATGGCAGTATATGAATGGCATTTAAATAATAAGGCCAATAAATTAGAAAAATAAATAATAAACTAATAACATTTCTATTAATGTTAAATATAATAGTCGAAAAAGGGAGAAGACAATGTCTTAATAAAAATTAATTAATTTTTGAATATTATATTGATATAATATTATTTTGAGGTAATATTATTCTATTGTAAGAAAATTTAAATTATGTTATTTTTTCTTTAAAACATTCCATTCTCCCATCTAAACTAAAAAGTAATCCAAAAAACACTCTTAAAAATTTACCCAAAAATCCAAAGGTTTCTTTTCAAATGAAAAGTATTAACTAATTTCTTAAGTATTCCCAAACAATTAATAATAATAAAAAATAAAGATTTAAATGAACACCTCCCTTTAAAAAAGAAAAAAAAAACTAATATTGTGCACTGTTTATTTTTTAATTCTCATCTTAATAACAAAAATCAAAAAACCCAAAGAAAACACAAAACTATTTACCAAACAAATGAATAATAAAAATAAATTAATTAATAAAAAAAACAACAATTACTATGACCTAATGACTAATACAACAAAATATCCCCTTTAAAGACCAGTCAATAAAAATCGAAAGTTTTATTTAACACCAATTGCTGTTGTTGTTTTAATTATATTCAACACCTCGAAGAATTGAAATTTTCGGAATTTTAATTTACCAGCATCCTTTGAAATATAAATTTATTTTCTGTGGAGTTTTCTGAGGAATATTTTAATGGGATTTTTTTCTGGGAAAAGTATTCATTAATGTAAATTTTATTTTGATTTAATCATATCCATTTCTGTTTTATCCACATATCATCCTATAGAATTTATATACAGAGCCAAAACTAGGTGCAATGTGTTGAATATTGAGACTTGATCTAGGTATAGTAAATAATGTTGACCCTTATCAGAAAAAGTATACCGATAAACATATCATAAGACATGATATCCTCTGATCTCATTATATATGTAATTTTCCCTATCTTAGAATCTGACTTATTTTTGGTAGAATTCTGACGATGTATCGAATTTGGATCTACTCGTAATCGGTACATTAATATTTCGATGAGGCACTTTTTGATCGAAACCGTGGTATAATACTACTGATCGATTTAGGGTATTTTGTGGCAAATTTTCAGTTTTATGTACAATTTTCTATAAGATTTTCCAATTTTCTGAAACCTCTTAGGATTTTATTAGGGAGTAAAAAACAAAATGTAGACGCTTATCATCTTCGGATCATTGATACATGCAATGCATAGTTAATAGAAGGATAATTATGTGCTTTTGTTAAGTCGGCCCGTTGAAGCTTCCTCTATGTACTTAAAAAATACAATCAGGGGCATCGAGCACCATCTTCTGGCTACCTCTGTGACTATTAGTAATACAAAGATTTAAACCTTGTTGAAATTGTATATATCTAAATTAGGAAAATACGACTACAGGCTTCAAACCTTTAGAAAATATATTTAGACTTATTAATAACCGTCTATAACTTATAGAAATAATAATTTCCGACCCTATAAAGTACATGTCGGTCTGTCTGGTGCAATCGCTCTAGCCTCTCGTCTGCAGACAGGCCAAGTTCGAAGATGGGATATTTCTGTCCACGTTTAGACATAGTTCACATATAAGGATACCTTAAAATTTTAGTATTTTGGGATTCTTGAGGGCCCTTTTCCAGCGAATTCGTTGAAATTTGGTAATTATGAAATTATGGACCAATATTGGTCCATTTTTTCTAGTAGCCACTATATAAAGGTGTCGCCAAAATGTCGCTACTTTGGGGTTTTTGACTACGGTTTCTTATAGGGTACCAAATCTCCACTATAAAAATATCAATATCAGTCCATTTTTTTCTGGTGGCCCCTATATTAAGATACCCTGAAATTTTTTAATCGAATTCGCTTTAATTCGGCAATTTATGTTGTTATTGAGTATCAAATCGCTATACTAAAAATTATCAATATATTTCCACGTTTTCGGTATCCCCCCATATAAAGATAACCTAATAATGTCGGTATTTTGGGGGGTTTGAGGACATCTTTTAATCGAATTCGCTGTAATTCTGCAATTTGTGTTTCTTTTATCAATATCAATATCGGTCCACATTTTCGTATAGCCCTCATATAACGGTATCCTCTTTAGTTTTTCAACTGAATTCTCAACAATTTGGAACTTCTGGTTCTTATTAATATGTATTCGGTAGCCCCTTTTTTGGTAATTTGAGGGTTTAGAGCGCGTTTGTTCAACAGAATTCGACCCCCATTTTGTGGGTAGTCCCCATATAACCTCCTTTTTATATTAAAGTATGTCACTGATTGGTTCCGCGTGTTTGGGTTGTCCTCATATAGGGCGACACTCTGTATACGAAATTGTCAGTTTCTACCGCATAAGGTTTGGAATTCTATGACGATTTACACATATTTTGAAATAATATTGAGAATAATGAGATAAAAATAGAACTTTAGGTTTGAGAATGAAATATATCGACTCGCATTTAGGAGGAGCGCACATATAACGATACCTTCCGATTTCTGATTTTTTTAAATTTGCGTGTTGAGATACATAACTGAATTATTAACTTCGAAATTGAGCTATATCGGTCCTTAATTTGGCATATCCCATCATAAAATGATAACCCCAAATAGACGCTAATTTCTACACGGTGTATTCATTATTGGTCCCGACTTAGATATAGCCTCATATAACATAGCCTTCTACATTGCAGTATTTTGAGATTTTATACATATGTTCCATCCTGCCTTGCGTCATCAATATCGGTTCATATTTTGGTGGATTATAAAATGTCTGAAATTAGGATACAAATTCCAATAAATTAATGAACACCAACATTAATTTATTGGAATTGACGGCATAGGTCGGCATTTTGGTATGTTCCCTATATTTTAATTACCACGTATAATTTTTAGGTTATTAATAATTCGACTTTTTATGGTCGGGATTTAGTACTTTGCCATCATCTCAAGAATAACTTTTTTAAGCTTTTTTTAATATCTTCGCATTATCTTCTTCTTTCTTTTCAAATCTTAAATTAAATTATACACATTTGTGTTTTTTTATAGAATTGAATTCTTTATTTTATTAAAATTAAAATTATTACATATTAATTTATTATTATTATAATTATTAAATTGTTTTAAATATTTTAAAATAAAAGAATTAAACAACAGTAACAAGTTGTTTGTTCACTGTTGTTTCATAGCAAATGTTCTTGGTTGTTTTTTTTTTATAAATTAAAGTTCATTGAAGAACTTCAGGTAGATAGAAATATAGAACAAGGAAGAAAGGAAATGAAATATTACAATAATTTGTTGTTGGTGTTTCTTCTTTTATAATAAAGACTATACAATCATAATAATAACAAACAATGAACAAAAAAGTACTTGCAAATAAGTAAATACAATATTTAATAAAAAAATACCCCAAAATTAAAAAAAAAACTGCTTAGTCACAAATACAGACACTGTCTTGATGAGGAGGTTTTATTGTTAACTCCTTAAACCTGTATTTGGCTGTTTCTATGTTGTGATTTGTGGCAGATTTTTTTTTGTAATGGGGCTTTTTCTACAATTCATTATCTTGAGAGGAGGATAGGGTGGATGTATTTTTGGGGGGCAATATTAATTAAAATGAAAATGAATTCGTTTTTTTCTACAATTGTTTTTCAAAGTTTTTCTTAAATTGTACATACAGTGAAATTGTTTTTTGTTTTTGTTTTGCATTCAACACTTAAAACTTTTACATGATCTATTCAATAAAATAACAAATAACATTTCATAAACTATGAATTTGAAAATGATTTAAGGAAACAAAGACAGGTGGTATATTTGGTTGGGGGGACAGGACAGGGAACAGAAATATTAACACTTGAATGATAATGGGTTTGAATTGGGGTTTTGTTTTTTACATAAGAAATAAATCACATTTTAAACATTAGGCTCGATTTGTTGGTGTTGTAATGCTTTGACACGAAATTCCTAGTGGCGGTGGTTAACACTTTTTTACATTGGTTTCAAAAATTCAGGTTTTTTTTACATAGAGTAGCATACATGTTTGTAGTTTATGTGTATGTGTTTATGTATAATAGTAAATGTATAACTACCGGAACCGACACGGTTCAATTAGAAGAAAAATCTTGAATTTAATACAACGACGCCCGAAGTGTTTTGTGGTGTGTATGTGTGTGTGTGTATTTTTTAGATGTAATTCGCTGAAGAAATAATATGTCAGAGCTAAGAGGTGTTAATGGCAATTTTGTAATAATTTTTGTAAAAATTTGAATTGTTTATTTCTAATCGGTGTTGTTGTTGTTGTTATTGCTAATTCTGCTGCTGATGCTGCTTCTACGACTGTTGGCTGCATTGTTAACACCTTAACGTTTTTATTGGTTATGCCAATAATTGCTACCATTCTTGCAATCTCTAATCGATGAAGAGTTGGAAGGTAACGGAACCCATACGATCGCGTACACTGCCATTGTAAAGGATGTTCTTGGCCCAGGCACGGCATTCAATGTTGATCATTTTATTGACGGGTAACTGTTCGAATTGTACAGCAATCAAAGGACTCAAATAGTTCTTTTGATTCAGATATGGATAGTAGTAGGCGGGGAAACCTTGAGAGGGGTAGTATTTGACAGTGCCGAAATCTTCTTGATCCTTGGCGTTGTTGCCATTGCAGGATACCCAAACTTGTTGACGCTACAAAATAAGAAAACAATTATTTACTTTGCAAAATTACAAGAAATATACTTTAGTTACCTCATGTTCTGGAACAGCCTTAATGTGTTCTTTCAATTGGGCGGGCATATCTTCGGGCAAATCAGCGGGGTTGTCATAGTATTCTGGTACCCAATCGTAGATTTTGTTCAATTTCAAGAATACACAGGGACGTGAGTTGTTGTAGCCATAGGAATTGCTGGGCGAACAGCTGCCAAATTGTTCAATATCAACAGTGCAGACATCTTCGGGATTGTGGGTTTGATTGAAGGAGCACACCTTGCCAGTATGTTGGCTTTCATTGTAGCCTATAGGAGGGAGGGAGGGGAGAAAACATTTTATTAATAACAGTTTCTTTAATGAAATGGCATCTATTTATCTTACTCTGCATGAAATTATTCAACAAATCAATCCAGTATTGTTTTTCAGCAGCAATTTTGGTATCGAATTGAATGACTGAACCACGTTGTGTGTCATCGCTAATGGGACGGAAGCCCAAACCGGGATTTGTACCAATCAACGACTTATCCAATTTCCATTTGGGTGCATTTTCATCCAATGAGGAGAACAGACCCTGCATACAGATGGCGAATAGACCAGCTAAGACCACATAGAAGATGGAGTAAAATGTCAACAATTGTGCTGGAAAGGAAAAAAATTGATTTTTATTATTAATATTAAATTAAAAAAAAAATATTTTGATATTTTATAAATTAAAAATAATTTAAATGAATAAAAATAAATAAATAGGAATAATATAGGACAAAGCCCTTATTTACCGAGGATAATAATATTCCAGTAAAAAAACCAACAACTATAGATACAAATTTCAGTTACTGAGAACAATTTGTATACCCTTCACCACCACAGTGGGGTACAGGGTATTATGTCTTTTTGCATATGTTCATGGTTCTCTTTGAGAATATGCATAGAATCAATTTTTGAATCGATTTATGAACGTCCGTCTGTTGACGTTAAATTGTGAAGAAAGTACAGGTCGCATTCATGATCCGATTTGGATGAACTTTGGCAAAGCTCATTTATTTGGCTCAAGGACGAACCCTATTGAAAGTGGGAAAAATCGGATCAGATTTAGATATAGCTCCCATATATATTTTCCTCCGATTTAATGTAAATGGTGCACGGAAGTCCCTATATATCTTTCGATTTGCACGAAATTTGGCACAGCGTACTGAATTGACTCAATTATTATGTGTGCTAAGTTTGGTGAAAATCGGTTCAGATTTAAATATAGCTCCAATATATATTTTTCTCCGATTTTATATAAATGGTGCACCAAAATCACTATATATCTTTCGATTTGCACTAAATTTGAAACAGCGTACTGAATTTAGTATTTAATGATGTATGTTAAGTTTTGTGAAAATCGGTTCAGATTTAGATATAGCTCCCATATATATTTTTGTCCGATTTTTTGTAAATGGTGCACCAAAGTCCATATATATCTTTCGATTTGAAAAAAAATGTGGCACAGCGTTCTGAATTGAGTCTATAATTATGTGTGTTTTGAGAAAATCGGTTCAGATTTAGATATTGCTCCCATATATATATTCGTCCGATTTAATGTAAATTGTTCATTAAAGACCCAAAGTTTGTCCGATTGGCGCACAATTTTGCAAAACGTTCTGAATCAATCTCTGACAAGTTTTGGTGAAATCGGTTCAGATTTATATGTATCTCCAATATATATTTCGTCCGATTTTAGGTAAATGATATATACAAATTATTTGTTACTCTATAACTTTTTTTAAATTTATGAATTCATTATGAATTCTAGATTGCAGAAATTAAAAAAAAAATCTTTCTCCCATTCTAATAGCATTCTAATAATTTCATACACATCTGTATTGTTTTATACGGAAATTTGTTATTAATTTGTAAAAAGAAAATAATTCTACTTTATTAACACATTTGCCACTTGTCCACCGCAAATTATATTGGCAAATAAGGAAATGACAACAGCATTTCGGTGACATTTTTCTCTTTTTTAAACATTGACAGATTAACTTGTGACATATATTTTTATATTTTTGCATTTACAAATACAAGTGTCGTTGCTTCTAATCATTCAAATGATTTATTATAAATGTAAATGAGCGATAGGCACACTCAATGTGTCATATATATTTTTATATATACATATGTTTGTATGTTTTAGGCATGTGGTCCATTTGTTTGTGGTTTGACGGTTTTAAGTAGGTACATAATAATCGAGATTTTTTTTGTGTATGTGATTATTATGGGGGGTTCTAATGACAATTGAACATTTTTTATTTATTTATTTTTTTTCAAAAAAACCAGTCTGGGTAGTTAGTTGTAGAAATTTTTGTGGTTGCTGTGTTCGAACAAAAAACAAAAAATCCAATGCCAAGGTTTAGTTTGTATTATTTATTACAATATGAAAATGTAATTGCAAGTGTATGTGTTGTAATATCAAAAAAATCAACAACAACAAAAAATACTAAAAAAATAATATTGTATAAATTAGTTTCGTAGACAAACATAAATTTCTATTTTGTATTTACGTAGATGTTACGTATCGTCTGCTACGTTTTTTGTTGTTGTTGGTCGGTTTTTTTAAGCTCTCCATTCCAACTGGGCACACTTTTCCTTTTTGAGGCTGATGTTGTTGTACCATGTGTTTTTTTTTAGTTGACAAGTGATATGTAGTTTACGGATGCTGTTAGCAAACGACAAAATGACAAAATACAACAACACCAGAGATACATTAAAGATTCTAAGGCTTTGAATTGGGATAGGTGGTTGTTCGGAATTGCCATTAAATAGAAATGTCACATGTAATGTTTAAAAATGCAAAATTCACAGCACAAACAGAATATAAAAAAATTGAGGGTGGAAGCGCGTGTTGTAAATTGTTTTGTAAAATAAGGGACATTAAATGGCCTCACATTTTCGTGACTCTGGCGCAGATATTTTTCGTTAGAAATATTTTGATGAAATTTTACAGAGTTCGATTTTAAATAAATGATATGGTTTCACATAGGTTGTCACTATCACGGTGTTTAATTTTCCTGTGTAAATATGTTGGCCAATTTTTATGTAGAGCTTATAGAGGCCTGAATCCACGCCTCTTATAGGGGACTGAAAAAAATATTTTATAATTCCACGCCTATTATAGAGACCTGAAAAAAATTTTTTATAAATCCATGTCTCTTATGAAGGCCTGAAAAAATACTTTTATAATTCCACGCCTATTATAGAGACCTGAAAAAAAATTCTTTTATAAATCCATGCCTCTTATGGAGGCCTGAAAAAGTTATTTTATCAATCTACGCCTCTTGTAGAGGCCTGAAAAAGTTCTTTTATAAATCCACGCTCCTTATAAAAAAGTTTTTTATAAATCAACGCCTATTATAGATGCCTGAAAAAATTTCTTTTATAAATCAATATAGCTCTACATATATATTCCTCCCCTTACTATGTAGTTTAATGATCCAAGGCTAATTTCCCAATGAACAAATTCTAAAATTCTATGACTATTTCAACATGTTGGTTCGTCTGCCTGTCTATTATAATCACGGTAGCCGCTAAAAAATTGAGATAGATCGGTAAAATTTTGCGTAGGGTTGTCTTTTGTCTGCAGGCAGTTCGAAGATGGGATATATCGAACTACGTTTAGACATATCCCCCATATAAGAGTACCCCCAAATGTTCAGTATTTTGGAGTTAATTACTACACGTCTTAGGTATAGGGAGCAGGGACATACGCTTACAAACATTTTTTTCTGCAATGAAAATGTTCATATTGAACCAGCAGTTTAACATGTCAACAATTAACATGGCATTGTCCGACCGATTTTAGGCATTTTTTATTTCCAACTCACTAAAAAGTTCTCTTTTAAATCCTCATTTCCGAATTTCAATTTTATTAAAGATATCGAAATTTTAGCTTCTGAAAATATTAACTTTCCTAGTTTGGGAAGTTATACCACGCCTACCCTTAAGTTATACCATGGAAAAATGGTTCTCCAGAGGGTATACGCTTATCTACACATTTTTAAAGATTCCATATAAACACCCCTGAGTATAGCCATTTGAATATTATTCAAATTAGTTTTCAATATTTTTTTTTATATTTGCTTCATAGTTTTGTGAAATTTAATTATTGTGTGTGTGCATCCTTCATTGGTCTCTCTCTCTCTGATGACCAAAAAATGATAATGTATGCATGTATATGTGTATACTCCTTAAGAATGACCTGCTGTTTTCTCCGTATGCGGTATACCTCCTAGCTGACGACATCACATCGACATGCAAGCAAGTATCCTTTTATATGGTGTTTATTCCGAATATCATGGGAATGGTGACTGGCAAGTTTGGAGGGGATGTTTTGCGGGTGTCTGCAAGGAGTGGTTTTGCTGGTTAATGGCCTCTTTGGCGCCAAATAAATACAGAGACTTGTTGGCATTCGTTTGTAAACAGAAAACTAAAAAAACGAATGCAAAACTACAATAGAAAGGACCTGGATGGGATTTTTTTTCTTTTTAGCCAGCATAAAAATGTTCAACAAGGAATTTATATGGAAATTCTAGGCATTTACATATTAACATAATATTTTATGGGATTTTGAAATGAAAATATCAGGGAAAGTTTTTTGTTTCTTCTTTTGTGAGAAACAAAACAAAATAATAATTTTGAAGCAACACAACAAATTTCTATGATGATAAAGTTTTTGGTTGCAAATCAGTATTGTAAATATTTAGTTCTCCAAAATTTTTTCGGTAAATAAAATCTCCCCTTCCTTTTTCTTCCTCTTTCCATCTCAAGCATCATTAGGTTTTTGTTCCTTTAAGAATGGATATGCGATTTTTATGTTGGCAATTTATTTAGAAAATAAGGTTGGGGGTGTGGAAATCAGCAAATTTTTATTGTTTGCAAAATTTCGGGCATAAGGGTACTCTAAACTGAACCAAAATAAAAAGAAACAAGGGAAACAAATGCCATTTGGGCACTTTTCTGGAGTTATAAACTTTTGTGTCTAATTTGTATTTGTATAATCCACCCTCCTCGTGAGCTGCAGAAGTTGTCTGGAAGCGTGGGGGAGGAGGGGAGTAACAGTGTCTGTGACATTCTATGCGTGTGTGAGCGAGTGCGTGTATGGCTATTTGACCCATTTCCTATAGTTGACCCATTTCATGCATTCGTTCAATATGAACTTGTTCCATACAATATGAGGTCATGAAATGGGAATACACCCACCCAGTTGGATAGAAATAAAGAAGAGGGTTGGAAACACCACCCCGCCAAATGCATTGTTTGAAGTGGTGGAGCGGTGGCGGGGAATGATAATGACACATTTTGTGATGGCATGATTGGGCATTTATTTATGTAGTTTTTTTACAAGGGGGATAGAAAATAAAAATAAAACTTGTTCAATTCCCAAAGATTGAAATGCTTATCCCTTGAAGTTGCGCTTCCCCTTAAGTTGTATTTTAGTTCCTTATAAATTATTACATAACATCTTAAAATAACTCCTTTTTGTGAAGAAAGTTTCTATTACTTAATGGAGAAATGACATGTTGTGAGACCCTTCTAAAAAGGAAAGGAGACTTCCGATGACTTTGAAGATAAGGACATGTGGCGATGTAACACTGACAAAT